GCAGCACAATTCCAACAACAATCTCATGAGAACATTTCAGTGCTTTCAAATCCATCTACACAGAACCGAACAGACTCCATCTTTGTAGGACTACAAGCCCCAGTTTCCACCTATTTCCTCACAGTCTCTTTAGTGCATTGGGAAGGGGGGGGGGAAGGAGAGAGCTAACAAACCTTGTTAGAAAATGGCTCAAAATATTGATAGAGAGTACTGTAATCAAATCTTATATGTAACAAAAAAAAAAGGGAAATCCCTAAAAGAAAAAAAGTCATTGGTCTCAAAGAAACAATATATAGGCTTATAGTGTTAGCATGATATGTATATCTCTTTGATTTTTTTATGGTCCAAATTTCTCTTTTACAGTGATGCCTCGCAAGACGAAATTAATTCATTCCGCGAGCCGTGTCAAATTGCAAAAATTTCGTCTTGCGAAGCACAGTACTAACTGTTATGTGATTTAAAACAAACCAAAAAAGGGGGAAAATTCATCTTGTGAAGCACGGCCATAGAAACATTTGTCTTGTGAGTCACCAAAAAAAATCGCAAAATGCTTTTGTCTTGTACGTTTGTCGTTGCGTGAGGCATTTGTCTTGCGAGGCATCTGAAAATCTATGTTATTCATGATAAAAGCCACAGCGGTGGTCTCCTGGTTTATATTTATCCACCAGGACAGGTGCTTCAGATGACTGGAAGAATCTGGATTATTTAATACAACTTCCACAAATGTGGAAATAACAGGTGACCGTTGTGTACGGCTGGAATAAATGAATACCTTCTCACTATATTTCTTAAGACATGCTGGTAGTATAAATCTTTGATTTCTCAGTATTTTTATAGGAATCATTTTCTTGAAGGTTTGGGTTAAAAGGTAGCATTCAAAGGAGCTATGGTGAGTTCTGTTCTACGAGCTGAAGAAACAACTATAAAACATGGTTGAAAAAGCTAGCTAAATATATAGAGTTACTACCCGAGTTCCTTGTAGGATGTGGTTTTGCTGTGGAAACGAAGATGCTGATATTCAGATCTGCATTTCTTAAACCCATGTGTAACACAACGTAAGACTCCTATTTTAGATATAAATTTTGAGTACTTCCCTGGAGAAAGGAAATTTAGTGAGGGATGAAGGATACAAACTAATTAAAGTAAGCTGCCTAGTGCTTAGGCCATCATAGCGATCCCGAGAGTTTGATTATGGATCACAGCTCAAGAGGCACTTCACATTGCTCAAGGAACACCTGAATACAAGCTCACAGGTGCAGTTCAACGAAAAGCACTTCAGTCAAGGAGAGGACTCCTCAAAGAAATGCAGTGATGATCCTTCAGTCACCTGGAACAGATTTTGAGGGAGGCTCCAAGGGTACATGCACAAGAAAGAGGGAATTGGCAAAAACTTCTCTTACTATCCCTGGTTTCTACCTGAAACATGTAAGCATGGCTTAGTCAGTATTCAACTCAATCTTTCTTCCCTTGGAAATTAAACCCTGAGGAATTTGGAGGAAATTGTATATGATGATAGGTAGATACTGAATTAAGTTCTAGTGAAAAGCTTTTGTACTGCAGTTCAAAAAAAAATCATAGATGTCATTTGTCCTTCTTCTGCAATGACATTTTTTATGCTGAAGGGAATTTGTTCATTGTAACTACATCTTTATTACTCATAACTGGGCGTGATAAACAAGCTCTCATTGCCCATTTCCTCACCATTGCATGAAGCTGCCTAATGGTGGAAAGCAGATGGAAGATTCAACTGTAAACCTCTTAAGTATTCAAGGTTGCTAATGCATCCACTGATTATTTGGGATTGTTTTAACACTGCTTCTCTAAGTGCAGAAATAACCTGTGAATACTGCTACTGTATGATCGAAATAAATTCATGACACCTTTCTCATTTTACTTCTTTAGGGCATGCTAATAGCCCAAATCCCAGTGATTTTTCACTGTCTTAAAAGTAATTATTTTCTTGAATGGCTGGGTGGAAAAGTAATATTAAAAGTAATAATGTGAGTTGTGCCTCTGTTTGTGAAGACAGATCTTTGCAAGCATGCTGCTTGTTCAGCTACCTGTGGCATGCTTTTCTGGGGGGATTAATCTTCCCTCCATCCTGTGGAAGTGGTTGCATTCCCTATCCATTTAAAACAGATGAGTAACCTGTGGCCCACCAGATATTGTGTGGCCACAACTCCCATAAAGCCAAATTAGCTTAAGTTGTGCCTCTGTTTGTGAAGACAGATCTTTGCAAGCATGCTGCTTGTTCAGCTACCTGTGGCATGCTTTTCTGGGGGGATTAATCTTCCCTCCATCCTGTGGAAGTGGTTGCATTCCCTATCCATTTAAAACAGATGAGTAACCTGTGGCCCACCAGATATTGTGTGGCCACAACTCCCATAAAGCCAAATTAGCTTAACCAGTGATGAGGAAGGCTGGGAGTTGCAGTCTAACAACATTTGGAGGCTGCATGTTGCCTGCCAAAGAAGTAAATGTAGAAGGTTGCTGTGCTTTTCAGAACTCCTTCCCCTGTGGAGGCATAAGACACCATACTAGGGCATAACCCAGCACCTCCTACCCTTTCTTCCTCACCATCTGCTCTAGAGATGGGGGCATTCGTATTTGTATATGAATACAAATATCCCCACACAGGTGGAAATAACAAGGGTCTGGCCTCATGGGGCCTGGCTGTTCACTCACAATTTCACCTCAGCCACCGGCTCTGCAGCAGCTTCCTATCACGCTGTTCTCCGCAATGGATTAGCCACTCTCCGACCTAGCAGAGAGGCGTGTCATCCCACCTCCTGCCAGGACTGGGTGATCAATTGCAGACAATGGTGTGATAGGAAGGCACCGTGGAGCTGGCGACAGCAGCAAAATTGTGGAGTGGACCGTCCGGCCCCATTAGCCCCGACCCTTGTTATTTCCACCTGTGTGGGGTTATTCGTATTCATATACGAATGCCCCCATCTCTAGAATCTGCTCTACCAGGAGAAAGTTCAGTAGTAACAATGGCCAGCCTTTGTGGCAAGTCAAAGGTATAAGAAAGTACCACATTTTCCCACTATGATATCCTCTAGTGCAAGATAGCTTTATAGTACGTTATACAAGCATCTTAGTCTTGGTGTGGGTTTGGCACTGGTTAACAGAACTAGGGAAGGGTAGGAAGTTCAGAAAGGCAGGCAAGCCAAAATATTGGTATTACTTCCATAAAATGTCATGCGAGACTTCCTGTTGCTCACACAAAACCCAATGTCAATTAGATACCAGAAGATTGAGAGAGGCACATATGATGTACCCGTCACAAGACACTGAATATACGACCTCTCTGTCCTTCCTGTGCCATTTAAGTGGTAACTCCATGAATGAAGTGTTGGGATTTTAACTGAAGTCAGCAACACTATTAACCATTTTAAATGCTCTTTGGATTTCACCTTGATCTTCAGTGTCTGTGCCAGCACGTGTCAGGAGATATGGCATAACACTATGCTGTATGATGATGTGCTGGCTCTAAACTCCATGCTGGCACAGCAGGTTTTGAAACGGATACATTTATTTTATGGTTTTCTTCAAGCTGACAATATTGAAAACTGACCTAATCTCTGGCACACCTCAAAAGATTTGACTGAAATATTGTGTCATGTAATTTGTTGTTGTAAATGTAGTTGATTCCCCCCTTCCCAGAGAAAGGAACTCCAGAAATTTTAGCAGGAAAAAACATGCAAAACTTCCTTCTTTAGCATCCTATACCAAATATTGTAGAAACATAATATAATATGGTGTGCTCACAGAATGTTCATATTTGGGACAATTTTGTCTACCTTTTCATATATCCGTTTTCATTTAAATGTAATGTGTTTACAGCTGTATCCCCAAATTTTTTCATATTGTGTAGAACATTTAAGAACCTGAAGCATGTGAGAAGCTTGAATTGAGATCAACAAAAGATCCAGAACAATACTGAGTACAGGGCAGAATCCTGGAATACCACACAATTTTATCATGGGCATTACATTCTTCACAATTTTTATTAATGATATGGATGAAGGAGTAGATTAAATTTTCATCAGATTTACAGATGACATCTAAAGGGAATGATAGCCAGACTTTCAGAAGATGGAGTCAGGAAGCAAGATGGCCTTAACAGATTGGAAAACTTGGCCAAAACAAAGTGGCTGAAATCCTGTTGGCCATGTTTTGCCTTCATAACAGGAATGATAACACATGGCGATTAAAGACTTTCACTTTCAAGGTGCACGTGCTGTGTCTCATTGTGTGCAGGCCACATTCACCCAGAAATTGAAAAAGGAAGTGTTTAATCATTAGTACCCTGCTGCTGTTGATGACATCATTCCTGTGGGGCAGCCGGATCTACACAACATGCATGCCAGCAGAGATAAATGTGAAGTTCTCCATTTAGGCAGAAAAGAAACAGACAGACAAATAATTCTGGTTCTGGATTGCTAGCATGTATGCATAAAAAGGATTTAGGGATTTTAGTTGACCATAAACTAAACAGAAGTCAGCAGTACAGTATGATGTAGCAGGGGGAAAAATGCTAATGCAATTCTAGTCTGGATTGACAGAAATTTAGGTCATGGTTAGTGTGGTGCTCCACTATTGTGTTTTGTTCAGAGTGTACCTGTAGTACTGTGCTCAGTTGTGGGCACCATGGTTTTAGAAAAATAAAGAGAAGCTAGAGATTGTTCTGAGAGGATAGCTCAGTATCATAAAATGTTTGGAAACCAAGCCCTGTAGTGAACAATTAAGGGACCCGGGTAAGTTTAGGCTGTACTGTACAGTTATATCATTCTGCAATTTTATGTTTATAAGAAATGTCAGAGGCCATGTCTTGGAACAGCCTTCTTGTGGAAGGAGGGAGATGCTTGGTGGAATCCCGGATGAAGTCCTGGGCCAAATACCTGAAGCTAATCTGTCTCTGGAATATTTGAAAGTCCCTGCACCCAAAACTACACCCCTGTATGTGCTTAAAGGATATTGTGGTTGAGAAAAGGCCATGTTAGCAGTAGATGAACACATTTAACTATTTTATCCATCATTCTAAGGTAAAAATTTATCAACATCTTCCAGATGTGTTTCCCTTGCAATCCTTCACTTCTCTAGTCATGGCATCTCCAAGACATTAACAACTGGAGAAAAAAAGATAGTACTTGTTAATTATGGGCAGTGGGAGGGAATGAAATTGTTGTCTAATATCTGGAAGCCTCTATAATTGAGTGAAAAGATCTTCAGGCTGGGACAGCCATTCTCAGCCTTCTTTTAAGAACTCTTCTCCGGTTCCAGGAGCTCTTGTTAAACAAGGAAAACCTTTGGCTGTGTACAAATAAGAATACCACACAAAAAGATGAATTTGTCCCCCCCTTTCAAATATTCCAGGCCCCTCCTAGGGAGGTCATATGGACCCCACTGAGAATGGCTGGTCTAGGATGAAAAGAAAGGTGATATTTATGAAGCTTTAGAATATTATACTATCCAGAGATTTATTTGCAACTAAAACTCTCATTGTTTATACCCGATGTATTAAAAAGTCGCTACTACTTACTACTTATCTCACAAATTGCCCTGTCTTTAGTTTCTTGGCAGTACTGAAGTGGAGCAGCCCAAAGGCACAGAAGTCGTGAGAGATGCTGTTAGAAAGCTTAAGGTATGGGAGTCTTTTCTACAATTCAGTATGATGAGCTGGGACCAATGCTCAGTCTGCTCTAAGCCTATGGTGTGTAATCAAAGGATTTTGCAGCTATTTGCAGTATAGCAGCATTGTGCTTCTTAATTCAGTTCCATCTAAGTTAGAAGGTATATCCAGTATTCCAAAAGCCAAAATAAAGGTTTGATTCCATAAAGTTTAGCAGGGGGTGGGCAAGAGAAATGCAGATGCTCTGTTGGGAAACCTCTCTGATAAATCAAGCTTACTGCGGCAAAGTGGAGTAAACATAAACATCTCCTTCCCCAGTGCAAACAGCAGGCATAGGGGCCTCGATCCAAGCTGGGTCTAAAACAAAACCCTACATTTAAAATCACTGTACAGTGGTGCCTCGCTTGACGACGATAATGTGTTCCATTAAAACCACTGTTGAGCGAAATCATCGTTAAGCGAAATTTAAAAAAACAATTGAAATGCATCCGAAATACCTCATTGTGCTCCAATGGCCGAAATACCTCATTGTGCAGCAAAGATCCTCCATAGGCCGGCCATTTTCTGGTGCCTGTATAGCAAGGAATCCGTCCTTAACACATCGGGGAGCCTCTTTGCACAGCGGGTGGCCATTTTGAAACACGGCAATCAACTGTTTTTTAGATCGTCGTAATACGAAGAATCGGTTCCCGAAGCAGGGAACTGATAGTTGTGAAGCGAATTTTCCCCATAGGAACATTGTTTTGCAATCTCAACAGGAGCCTCTTTGCACAGCGGGTGGCCATTTTGAAACACGGCAATCAACTGTTTTTTAGATCGTCGTAATACGAAGAATCGGTTCCCGAAGCAGGGAACTGATAGTTGTGAAGCGAATTTTCCCCATAGGAACATTGTTTTGCAATCTCAACAGCAATCGCAAAAAAACCATTGTAAAGCAGATTCATCGTTTGACGGGATAATTGTTAAGCGAGGCACCACTGTATCTAGATTCCTTCCTGGTCTCTTCTAGGGTTCTTGCAATGCATATTTTATTTATTATTTTATTTTATTTTATTTATTGGACTTATATACCGCCCCATAGCGCTACAAGCACTCTCCGGGCGGTTTACAATTTTAATTATAAAGGCTACACATTGCCCCCCCAGCAAGCTGGGTACTCATTTTACCGACCTCGGAAGGATGGAAGGCTGAGTCAACCTTGAGCCGGCTACCTGGGATTTGAACCCCAGGTCGTGAGCACAGTTTTAGCTGCCAAAGCAGATTCATCATTTGACGAGGTAATTGTTAAGTGAGGCACCACTGTATCTAGATTCCTTCCTGGTCTCTTCTAGGGTTCTTGCAATGCATATTTTATTTATTATTTTATTTTATTTTATTTATTGGACTTATATACCGCCCCATAGCACTACAAGCACTCTCCGGGCGGTTTACAATTTTAATTATAAAGGCTACACATTGCCCCCAGGGTTCTTGCAAAGTATATATACAGTACATATTTAAAGCAGTATCTTCAGGCATGTTGAAAGCATGCCAGTGATATATACAGTACATATTTAAAGCAGCATCTTCAGGCATGTTGAAAGCATGCCAGTGGTGCTGCTGGAGTGGAAAGATCAAAGTGACAGGGTGCTACCATCGCCCTGTGAATGTGTTCACAGACTTCATGTTCCTCAGGAGGCTTTTTCCATGTCTCCGTATTTTAAAAAGCTATTCACGAAGTTGCTAATAACATGAATAATGTCCAGGTTGGCCCTCAGCCTGATGTGGATTTAATGCAGCATTGCGCTGGTGATGCTGGCATATTTAAAGGAAAAGAATGTCCAAAATATGAACTCTCCTTTTGAAGCAGCCCACTCCGTTCTCAATGGCTTCCTGACGCCTTCACATTTGGACAGCTTTTGCCATTTCTGCTGCCACAAGGAGCCTCATGGCAGAGTGATTAAGCTGCAGTACTGCAGTAGAGACTCTGCTCACAACCTGAGTTGGATCTCAATAGGTTCAGGTAGCTGGCTGGAGGTTGACTCAGTCTTCCAGCCTTCTGAGGTTGGTAAACTGAGTACCCATTTGGGGGGGGGAGGCAGCATATAAGTAATATGCTTTGCTCTGTGTGTTTGCTACTTTCCCCCTTCCCAGTCTTCCTGCTCTGTGGCAAAGTCTACACACAGCAACAGCATACGTTTGCAAAGAGGCAGGAAGTAGCCAGAAACAGGACCTCTATTCAGAAGAAGCATTTGAGGCGTGCAACCGATAGGCAGGTTCCCTGCACCTTTGAGGCATTACGGACGTGCAGAAGAGGCAACATTTCTCTTCTGAATGCTGATGAACCTCCTAATGCTTTTAAAAATCACAGAGAGAGCCATTTTTTAATTTTTATTTATTTATTTATTTGATTGATTTATACCCCGCCTATCTGGTCTACTCGACCACTCTTACTTACTCACCCATAGGGCTTTAGGAACCCACTTCGAACGCTGTCATCTGTTTTTTGTGCCTGCCAAGGGTACGAGAGCCTCAGAGAACCTCAACCAATGGGTTCAAATGAGAAGAAAGGAAAATTTGACTAGATGTTGGGAAAACTTCTTGACCGTAAAAACCATTCAGCCATGGAATGAATTACCTTGGTAGATGGTGTCTTCTCCTTCACCAGAGGTTTTAAAACAAAGATTGGGTGAATATTTTGTCAGGGATGCCGTTAGCTGTGGATTCCCTGCTTTAGTTTTTGGACTTGATATCCTCCAGGGTTCCTTTCAGCGCTATAATTCTATGATCCCTCCTCCCCCCCCCCCAGGCTTCCCTGGTCTTACAAATATTCCTTAGCTTTCCTTCAGAATTCTTTGTGCTGCCCCAAGATCGGCCTCAATATGCATTTCAAGTTTTGCTTCAAGCAAATTCTGAAATGCAGAACTGTACCTATTTTTATTCATAGCTTCAGCTCTTGAGTTATTCCCTGGTCTTACAAATATTCCTTGGCTTTCCTTCAGAATTCTTCGTGTCCTGCCCCAAGATCAGCCTCAACATGCATTTCAAGTTTTGCTTCAAGCAAAATTCTGAAATGCAGAACTGCACCTATTTTTTATTCATAGCTTCAGCTCTTGAGTTAAATGGAAAATATGTATCATGAAACATCATAGAAATTAACACCGGCCACTGTTATCAGTCTCTGACCTCTTGTTATGAGCATCAATTCATGATAAATTAATTTATATTTTATTTCAAATCAGAGTCATAGTCAAATATCCTTTATATAGTCAAAGATCCTTTATTCATATTCTTAAAAATAGTTACAATTTAGTTCTGGTTGATTCCAGCATAAAATGGACAAGGTCCTTTTTTACAAGCATAGAGTAGAATGAAAAGATACATTGGGCACATAGATTATTTTTATCTGCATTTATCATCAGCTGTCAGGTGTTTACAGTGGAGCATTCAGAGCAAACGATAGGATTGTTTCAGTAAAACATTTGTGTTAAACCTAATTTTCATGTCAAATTAGCTCCAGTTTCAGAAAGACAGCCTAAATTGATAATACCATTAATGAAACATCTTTGGTGCTTTGAAAAGATACAGAAGGCTTGTCTACACACCTGTTTTGGAGTGGGCTGGGTCAGGCTAGTGAACCTCAAGGGTCCACACTGGCCCACTGTCAATTTGCCGATATCATGAAGTAGCAATTTAAACACTTCTTCAGTTTCCTGGAGAGACCAAGAAAAATTGGGGCGGGGGGGAGGTATTACGGCCATGCCTAGGTGTTCCATCACTTTTAAAAAAATAAAAGCCAGATGGAAAATTTTCTCCTGGAATCGGAAGGAGACATGAGGGGGCAACAAGGGGAATTCTTGTTTGCTTTTCTTTTAAAAGTCTGGTCAAGAAAAACAAACAAAAATCTCCCTCATTACTTCCATCTTCCTTCTCCTGCTTCCAGGAGGAGGTTTTCTGTTTGGCTTTTTTAAAAAGCACTGCAGGACATATGTGCTGCCCAAATACAATTTTTTTAAAAAAAAAAATTCAGTTCTTCATCCCTTCCGAGGAGTCAAGGATGTACTTAATTTGCCAAAATTCTGAAATGGCTCTTTTTTAAAACCACTTCACATTATTGGCAATTCAAACAGGAAGGCTTGCTTTTGGTTTGTTTCCAGCTATTGCATGCGCTGGAAATGAGCCAAACAGCAATCCTACCTGCACCAAAACAATAGAAGTCCCTGACAAAGGCCAGAAAGCTGCAGGTAGAATCTCTCTGGAGGCAGGCTGGTTCACTGCAGAAAAGACATTGTCTGATTGCTGTCTTTAGGAATGAACCTGTTTCTCCCTGTAGCAGACCAAACAGCAGACTAAATGCCCGTGTAGTCATCCCTTAGAGGTCCTATATGGTTCCGTGTTGTTTAGTAAGGAGCACCACAGCCCAGCAGCAGCCACAGCATTGCTTTTTGTGCACACTTTTAGTCCATACAGATTGGCCAGAATCCTTTTGATGCTTACATAAGGTGTGCATAACTTGCAGCTACTTGTGGCTAATTGGTGGAGTGCTTGGATGTGTCTTAGTCATGTGCCTGGTCAGCTATCTGGTTGCATCTTGGTATCTCATCAGTCAGCCACAATTAACAATGGCAAGTTACACAAATCCTTTGCCATTTCAACTAGGATTTATTTCTAACCACTATAATGTTAAGAAAGCAGCCTTACCAGATCCATCCTATAACAGAGAGAGGACATGTTGGATCCAAGGCATTGCAGATCCTTTCCTTTGCCTCTTTAAGTTTGAGGATTATTTTATGCAAGGCTGTACTTGTGCAAAAAGTAATGGGGGGAAGGGGATAAATAAGCACAAATGAGGACTGGAGAAGGGATATTTCTATGACTGGAAACTAGAACTTCTCTCTTAAGCTATGGAGTCAAGCAATTAGAGAAATGAAAAGATACCCAGTAATTTCTACTAATATGGCTAATATCCATCCCCTTTTTAATGATAAATCATAAAAGTTCTGTGATCTATCTTACGCACGCTCTGCATAATAATTATGAATGGTAAAAATAAAGATACATTTATATCTGTTCATAATTAGGAAGAAAAATAGAAATGTCAATTAAAATTTCATGAGACCACAGAAGTATCACAACTTCAAAAAGAACTGAATTAATTGGAGAAGAGAAGGATCGTGTTTCAAATGTTTAGGCTTCTATTAGTGGAGGAAAAATCAATCTTTTCGCTTTGTTAAAACACCTGGCTTTTTTCCCCGTGTTCCATATATTTTGGGTTGTAATCCACATTCAAGACACTTGTTTCATCAAAAGCCTTAATACTTCAAAGAGCTAAGTATGTACACAGGCAGAAGTACGCACTCTCAGCTCCATTTGCTGTTAGATGGATACATATTTTTATATTCATATAATGTAATTATTTCAGCCATGTCAGAGCATTGCTTCAAATTAGCCATCTCTGATCATTTGGTTGTAGGATCAACAACCTAGGCATGCCGAAGGTTTGACGTTTTTCTGTCCCTCTTCCCCTGCACCACACCTCTCAGTCTACAAAACCGTAATACTGTACTGTACATCAGTGGTTCTTAACCTTGGGTTACTCAGGTGTTTTTGGACTGCAACTCCAAGAAGCCTTCATCACCAGCTGTGCTGGCCGGGGTTTCTAGGAGAACCACTGCTGTACATGACACTATATAATTTGATTTTTGCCAGCAGATGGTGCTCATGTTCCATAACAAGAACAACAGCAGCAAAAAGAAGTGTTGGCAAACTTAATTCTTTCTATTTCTCTTCCAGTTTTTAGTTTATCTCCCTACGGTCAGTTCTGTACTGAGCCAGTCATTGTTTAGGTTATTGAGAAGATAAACCCTTCTAGCAGTATCAACTTCCTTCTGCAGCATTTCATTTTACTTGGAATGTTTCCTGTTTGTTTGCACTGATAGGAAAGGAGTATAAATCGTAACTACCAGGCACACCACAAATGTCAGGAAACCTTAGTGATTTACTATGTTTGTTTCTTACATGTTTCCAATTTTTTTAAAAAACTGAACATCTTGCTGTTGTTTCTGGAGTAATATTTTCCACAGTTCTAATCACAAGGCAGTCTAAAACAAAGGGTTCTGAAAATATTTCATAGTGAGCCTTTTTCCTTGAACAGAAACATATGGTCTGACTGAGGGTGATAAGTTTTATTTCATAAAGGGGGGGGATGGTGGGTGGAATATCCAAGAAGAGAAGAAGACCTTTGGAAACAAGAGTGTTAACCCTCTCAACCCGTTGTCTGAGCGAAGGAAAGTTGCTGTCTCTTCTCTTGAGCAGTGATGATCTCCTTCCCTTCCTATTCTGTTGGCTCTCCATGTCTCCTGCAGAGTCAAAGGCAGCAGTTGGTCTAATCTGAGATGTCACAGGCATGGAGTATAGAGCAGTGTGAGGGTAAATAAAAATAATAGATTGGCATTAGGTAAGAAGTGTCTGAGAGCAGACTTAATTCTTCTTTAAGTTGGTTGATTTCTTCTCATAGGGCAGTATGCAAGATTTTACTTCCCACAACCAAAATGTATGAGGAAAGACTGAAAGGAACTGGGCATGTTTAGCCTTCAGAATGAATTTAATTAATTAATTAATTAATTAATATCCCGCCTATCTGATCGGGTCAGGACCACTCTAGAAAAGAAGACTAAGGGGAGATTCTGTATCAGACTTCAAATACTGGAAAGGTTGTCATACAGAGGAGGTAGAGGACTTGTTCTCGATCATCCCCAGAGTGCAGGACACGCAACAATGGGCTCAAGCTACAGGAAGCCAGACTTTGGCTGAAAATTAGGGGGGGGGAAACTTCTTAACTGTTAGAACAGTATGGCAATGGAACTAATTGCCTCAGAAAGTGATGAGCTCTCTAATGCTGGAGGCATTCAAGAGAACATTGGGCAACCATCTGTCAGATCTGCTTTGATAGGTGACAGAGTGAGAAACAGCCATGCCAAATGTGACATTCTGGTCTTGTTTTGAGGAAATAATGTTGTAAATTCTGAGGGTGTTCTCAATGAGTTGTTAATACCTTTACTGACTACTGCAGTGTGTTTTTCACTGGCACGTTAATGACAATAAATGTGTTGGGTTAGAGTACAAGGAAAGTAATTTATAGTCACATTGTGTTTTGGTTTATTCATCAACTCCTATCTCTTATTTAAGAACATATAACTAGATTTTCATTTTCTACCAATTATCAAAGCAGGGAACATAAAATAAAATTTAAAATAGAATAAAATGGAAAGCAATAATATATTAATATATTAATGCAATCTACCATAAATCACAATGCAAAGGAAAGTGTAGTACTGTTTCTGTTAGGGCTTATTTACCTTAGAATATTTGCATATTCTTGTTTCTCATTTCCAGTTTGCACGACATATTAAGAAGTCCGAAGGTCAAAAAACACCAAAGGTTGAACTACAAATCTCAATATATGGAGTAAAAATTTTAGACCCCAAAACAAAGGTAGGAATCTTCATTTGTCACTTTTTTCTTTAACATTTTGACCCAGACAAGCAACCCATTAATATAAACAAGGACTTTACGATATCCTACTGATTAGCATACATGAGGCAGCTGCTTGCCGTTAGCTGTGCCTGTAGAAAGAAACATCAGGCACGCGATTGCGCAACACTGGGCTCCCAACATGGCGTCTCCCAAGGACCAAGTACAAAATGACTCAACAGCAGCCCAGGTGGTATGAGTGTTCACATAAGATTTGTGTAACTTGCTACAGCTAATTGATGTATTGCTCAGTTACATTTCAGTTGTGCAGTCAAGCTTGTGACGAGGCACATGACAAAGGCAAACCCCCAGCACACCTCGTCAGTTAGGCACAGCAAGTTACGCAGTCTTTAGGCACAAACGCCAGTAGGATTCTGACCCACATTGCACATGTGTGCTGAGAACAACTGAATTGTGCACAATCTTTCAGCCCATTCTACCTTCAGAGAAAAATCATTGAGTCCACCTGTCTTTAAAAGAGACCACTATCTATATATTCAAGGAATGGTTGAAATTCACTTCATTCTATGGTTTTTGATAACTGCCTAAGAAATATAATGCCTGTAGTGTATTGAAACAGAAATGAGCAATGCATTTGATAAATGTCATGGGTAGTGATGGTCGTGAACCACTGGTTCGGCATGGTTCATTTCCTGACTGAGCAGCTGGTCCATGATTTGGTGCCCGGCCCCTTCCAATGGGCAACGGTTGAGCAGCGGTGCTATGCCATGCTTTCTCCAGGCACTGCCTCTAAGTGGATGCCCTCTGGAGCAGGCAGGCCACTGGAGCACAGATCAGTTCTTTGGCCAGGCCAGGAAACAAACAAACCATGCCAAACTGTTGAACCAAATTGCAAAGCCAGCGATTCAGCCCATCTCTAGTCATGAGGCTGACAACACAGCACGAAGAGGAAAAATATTGACCAAAGAAGAGTTGAACTGTGTTGAAGGAGAATAACAGAAGGAAGAAAAAAAAAGTCCAAGGATAGTGTGGCGTAGAATCATCTCATGCTAACAGATTTTCAACATGAAAATGAGAAGGATTCCAGTGCCAATGGAAAGAGTGAAAACACGAAGAATAATAGCCCTCCCCAGAACTCTCATAGGAATTAAGAACGGTCATGTTTTCTTAAAGCAAGAGGGTCCCCCATACAAGCCACATATTTTTCTTCATGACCAGAGCTGCTTTCCCATGACACTAGCCAGAAGTAATAAAAAGCTGTGGAGATGCTTGGAGAGGAAAACGAAGTACCATCAAGTACTCTTTTTGTTTTGTTTTGTTTTGTTTTTAATTCGCTTGGAGAGGAAAACGATGTACCATCAAGTACTCTTTTTGTTTTGTTCTTAATTCTACACTGTTTTATCTTCCAAATGTAAATCATCCACTTCGTGGCAGTAAGGAGTAGCATCTCAGTACATCTAATGCACACCTGAAACCCTTCATGGGGAAGGACAAAAGCTGTGCATTGCAATTACATATATCTGCATCCTAATGCATACACAGGAGGGAAGCTGGCAGGTAACCAAGTGCGAGAGTTGTCTGATAAAGAGAGGGTAGATATTCTCTCTTAAGTTTCCTCCTTCAGATCATATTGCTTAAGGATTTATTCATTTGATGTTCTGTAGCCTTACTTGATAGTCTCAAGGTGGCCTGTCTCATTTTATGTTCGTCCCAGTTCAGCATGGTGCCCGCACAGGTGATCTGCAGGTGCCACGCACTTCCCTCCTTGCCTTCTTTGCACATTCATCCACTCATGGACAGCAGCATGCTTCCCTCCCCTGCCTCCTTGCCTGAGTGGGCAACCACTGGAGGAAACGGAGGAAGGAAGCACGTGCTGCTGCTGCTGGTGAGTGGATGGCCACCAGAGGACAAGGGGGAGGGAAACGTGCCATGAGTGAACAAATGTGCAAAGGAGACATTGGAGGGAAGTGTGCAGCATCTGCACAATATCTATGCAGACACCACCAAGGCGCTCTTCATGCCCATCTCTGTATGGTCTTATTATCCGAAATAGGGATAAACATGTTTGAGGCTCACTGAAACTTCTAAAGGTCTCATAGTGACTTTGACTTAGCACTTGCTACTGTATTTGCCTTCCCATTCTTCACATGGTAAGAATGATAACATGTGCTTCCTAATGAGGCTTTCTTTGTTCAATTTTTACATTATACAGATAGCACTGCAAGTCCAGTGTTATCCCCTGGTGTATCCCCACTATTCCTTCCATTGTATGTCCTGCTGGAGAAGGTGCCACAAGACCGTTTTCCTGATCTACTGATCTACTTTCAGGCTTCATTAATTGCTTCCTGGAATGAGATTTCCTTGACCCAAAATGACCAATTAGGCACTTAATCTGTAGAAACACTGAAAACATTGTACATCTAACATGTAGCGCTGTAGCTTCTGGCTCTGAGCCTGTCAGGTTGTAATCTCTAGCCTTATGTGGCAGGCTTTTTGAAAGTCATTTTTAGGCTTGTGCTCTTGTATGACAGCACAGCTAACAACCAGGAAAAATTAGGTTAGCACGTGTCGGAGCCCAACCACAATACCAATTAGATGGAGTTGTCTGGTTAGAGGTAGCTGTGAAATTGATTAGAAACGGTGCAATTGATGGGACTTTGCAATCCAATCTCTAGCCATGTCCTCTAAGACGTTTAGGTGTAGTCTGGTTACCATGTGTAGCATATACTATCCTTGTGGGGTTTAAGAAAAAAAAATCTTCATAGTAGCAGTAGGATTTGCAGTGTTGTTGGTTGAGAAACTAGGAAGTGCAAATACAGTCCAGAATAGCCCTGACGAGCACCTGCTAGGGTGTGTCATCTGGTGTGTCTTTCTGTAAATTACCAATCCAAGAATTCCTGAGGCAGAATTTTGGGAGTTTCAGCCCACAAACCTACACATCTGAAGACATCTCCATTTCACCTACCTGATGAAGGGCTGAGGCCTCCCTCCAGGGCTTATGCCTGAGACAGAATTTTGGGAGTTCCAGCCCATAAACCTACACATTTGAAGACATCTCCATTTCACCCACTTGGAGAAGGGCTGAGGCCTCCCTCCAGGGCTTATTTCCTGGTGCAATGCTTCCTGGAGGTGGTGCTTTCTCAGGAGTCACCCTTGGTAGACCAATGAGATTTCCAACCCCAAGAAATATAGCCAGGAAGGAGGCTTGAGAATTCTGGGATCTGGAGTCCAGAGAGAGAGAGAGAAGAATGGTACAACCCTGGCACCTGCTTCAAAATGTTTGGAGAAAAATATGCCTGTTAAGCACGGAGGATATTATCCACACAGCTATGATATATATGCCAAGTGGATGATATGTAGCATGATGCATACATCTAAGGAGGAACAGACCACAGACGTGTGAACAGTGTGTTGCAATTCACACTAGTAGTGCAGCAGAAGCCCACTGGTTAGTAGCAGTAGTATCTGGTAACATCTGGTACTCTTGGGAAATGTATTCTAAAGTAAAAGACCACCGGAGTGGTCAGAGAATGCACTGAAACCAAGCTTAAGCCCTGGATATTCCTATATGTAGGCCACAACTCGCAAGTGCCATTACAGCCAGTGAGTTATCAACAATTATGAAAGGCAGAGTTATCTTAACTACTTTAATTGCTTTAATTAAAATATTCTGCAATGAAGGTTAACTGGAGTATTACAAAAGTCATTTTCTGTGCTTTGAGTGCCTGATATATTTAACATATCTTTTGAGTAGGTTATTAAAATAAGGTACAGTAATCCTCATTTGCTATATACTCCAAGATCACATCCTTCTGTTTGAAAATGTGACATTGTTATCCTCTAGTTGTTACAGTAAATGTACAGACATGTGAACCGACAGAACATTATGTACAGCAGGAAGATGTTTGTGCAGAAAGTACTTTGACTGTGATCCAGCAACACAGCCCTGTAAATGAAGCTGGGCCTTTCCCAGAGTCTGTAATGGAACATCTTGTGTTTGTACTTTTTTTTTTGCCTTATGTAGCTCAAAATTGGACCCAGATGCTTATACTCATTGCAAACAAATCGAAAGAAGCCACTGTACTTGTGCATAAAAACAACTTTTTAGAAAACAGTATTATAAGTCATCACAATAAAGTAATACTTAATGAAGTATTCTCTTTAGTAGGAGAGGACTCTGCCTCATTCTACGGTAGTGGGTTAGAAGATGTTCAAGACCTATAATGTAACTCATGAGATGTAATTAAGCAATTACTGTTTTTAGGAAGTGCAGCATAACTGCCAGCTCCATAGGATATCATTTTGTGCTGATGACAAAACCGACAAAAGGATATTCACTTTCATATGCAAAGATTCTGAATCAAATAAACACTTGTGCTATGTCTTTGACAGTGAAAAGTGTGTAAGTATGTCATACTTGCTTTGGTTTGTGTGTAGGTGTCTTTATGCTGCAAATGTTTGTCTCCCCTTTTTCTTTCAGTAATCCAAAAACAGACTAGAGAAGAAAGCATGCTATAATTTGTGTCTCTGAAGCCAGATTTTTCCCATATGTATTTAGCTTGTGGCAGTAATAATCCCATAACACAAGTTAACTATCACTGATAACATTAACAACACACATAACTATCATACAAATTACTATCTAACATTCTGGCTTTTTTAATGTACTAACTTTCCATTTGTCACTAAGTTGATCGGCACCATTTCATGTCTCCAACAAGAGATAGCATGCATACAGCCTGAGCCACTGTTTACACTTCCTTGTGTCACAAGACAACCTAGTGCAAAATGCATATGAAGAGCCTATATAGCATGACAGCTGTTTGTGTCACACTGCATTTGTATTTTACTGCTTTTTTATTTAAAAGGAATGCAGAAAACATAAGTGTTTGTGCCCAGGCAAGCTAACATTTGTATATTTTACCCATTAGAATCATAATGTACACAAAGCATGTGAAAAATGCTTGTCTGTGTTCTACTGGGAAAAGTTTGTCTACTACCTTGTTTTTGGGCCTTAACTTTTTACATTTACAGAACTGTGAGGAATTTACTGCTGCTTAATGCTTAATGTCTTGGTTATTTCTTTTCTCTTGCATCATACCTCTTTCCCCTTCTGCTTCCAGATATTAATGTACCTGTGCCACTGTACACTGTTCTATCATCTGTATAAAGATAAGTTCACTCAGGAACCACCTAACACTTAAGTCAGACCACGTGTGGTCTCAGTTCTGATAGGCAGCAGTAGCTCTTCGCCATTTCAGGAAGGATTCCTTCTTAACCTTAGCTAAAGGTTCCTATCATTCTCTTGTAATCTCTCATGCAAATACTAACCAGATTCATCTCTGCTTAGCTTCCAAAATCAGATGAGACTGGTGTATTATGGGACAAGTCACAGAATTGACGCAATGTGGTTTAATGGTCCAATTCTGTTTTGTAAGAAGGCATTGGCATTCAAAGTGAATCACAGTCACTGGACAAGAAACATAATGCAACAACAAACATAAATCAGGTTCCATGCCAATCCCAGGACTTTGGAATTGCCCTCTGATTGAACCAACTTTAGTTCTCTCAAAGGCAAATTTCAGTTGTCAAGGCCATTGCTTGGATGTAGTTCCACAGCTGTGGCCATGTCTTAGTCCCACCTGAGTATCTTTTATTTACCAGCACTTGATGGTGGCATGAATGCCATGTCTTTTTTCACTATACAGTATTTTCCTAGCCCAGCTTTCATTTTAGTTTTTTTCTGCCTCCAGCAATTGCATTTAAAGCAGGCTGGTTGTCATAAGGTTTTCATTTTTTAAAAACTACCAGCTCCAAAATAACCTCACCATTGTAATTAGACTGTCTTGCAATAAGTCATGTAATAAGTGTTGTTGCCACATTTTAATTAGAAATACATGCCTCTAAAAACAATGGTTTGGATTCACTCGTTGTTGGCACTGTTCTGAAATATATCAACAAGAAATTCACCAAAATTATAACCTATTTAAAAAGGTAATGGATTGCACCCTGCCAATTTCTTTCTGTTGTAATTAGACTAATAAATTATTGGCAGGTTCAGCCTTCTGTACACTTTCCAGCCTGTCTCTGTATAAATGGTTATGAATATTAAATCAACATGTGCTTTTAAAATTATTCTTTGATATATAAAATAGAGTTTGCATACTAATAGTAATATTTGTTTTCTATCAAGGCAGAAGAAATAACTTTAACTATTGGTCAAGCATTTGACCTGGCTTACAGGAAATTTCTGGAATCTGGAGGAAAAGATGTTGAAACAAGAAAACAGATTGCAGGTTTACAGAAAAGAGTAAGTTGCAGATGGCTGTTCTTTCTGTGTTTAAATAACATACCATTTAGACTTTTAGGAATCTTATGGGAGTATAATAGAATCAGCACTCTACCTTTGATTTTATAAAAAGCATGTCTTCTTTATTATGGCTGTGGACACAGAGCGATCCTTGGAGAAATGTTCCGATCCGATAGGCAGAACAGCAGGATTTAGCTACAGCAAAAGAAAGCATAGCAGTAGCAATACTGAGTATCTATCTGGTTTCCTAAAAATCTAGTTAGTGCCTGTATATTCCCACTTACTCCAGCAATAGAAAATCCTTCCATGAAGACAAAAAGCTTCAGTTTGCAGATTGGAAGCAAACACATCTTTATATATTCTAAGATTTCTTTATTAATCGTAAATCATTCAGTGGTCAGCAACAGCAGAATATACCCTCTTTTTCTCCTGGGCTATGGTTAAAAAGCGGAACGGAGGACAAGTACAAGTAGCTCCAGAGCTAATGAAGTGGTTGCGCCAAAGCCGAAAGGATGCTCAGCTGCAGACATACCTGGAAGAGAAAGGAAAGTCCGATGCCGCAGAGAAGAATACTGCATAGGAACCTGGAATGTAAGATCTACGAACCTTGGAAAACTGGATGTGGTCAAACAGGAGATGGCAAGAATAAACATTGACATCCTGGGTGTCAGTGAACTAAAATGGACAGGAATGGGCGAATTCAATTCAGACGATTATCATATCTACTACTGTGGGCAAGCATCCTATAGAAGAAATGGAGTAGCCCTCATAGTCAACAGAAGAGTGGGGAAAGCTGTACTGGGATACAATCTCAAAATGATCGAATTATTTCAATACGAATCCAAGGCAGACCTTTCAACATCACAGTCATCCAAGTTTATGCACCAACCACTGATGCTGAAGAGGCTGAAATTGACCAATTCTATGAAGACTTACAACACCATCTAGAACTGACACCAAAGAAAGATGTTCTTGTCCTTATAGGGGACTGGAGTGCTAACGTATGGACTCAAGAGATAAATAGTCAAGAAATAGTCAAGAAAGAAGCAAAGTGAAACCTTACAGCATTCATGTCTTTGATCGTTGCGTATCTATCCATCCACATAGCCTCAGAAATGTATGCCACCAGATGAAACTAATTAAGGCCCAGTGGGCTTAAAAATTGCATGGGTGCATGATTTGGACCTTGTTTCTCCTTTTACCATGCAAAATTGGCTACGGTTCCATTACACCTGGCTTATTAAATCACACTAGATAAGGCCCATTGCATTAATAAGGATTTAGTGACTCAACCCCTTTGTAAGTTCCATTGATTGAAATGGGCCTACTCTGATCTCAGCTTACTTTAGTATAGTAAGTCCACAATTAGAGTACGCCCATTTGAATCAATGGAACTTATGGAGGAGTTGCCTCACCAAATCCCTATTGACTACACAAGCAACAAGATTTTAGCTGATTAAATATTTTATAGACATAAGTGTGAAACTCTGCTTTTTTATATCAATATACCAAACAGCGATATATCAAACAACAATTTTATTTAATAGTTGTAATCATCCAAAGGAAATGGAGGATTCACTTTTATTCCATTTTGGAAGTTTCATAATTGGTAGATTTTGTTAACTACAGTACAATATCTAATAGCATATATATTGAAACCATATCTTGTACATAATTTAGAAGGAAGGAAGGAAGGAAGGAAGGAAGGAAGGAAGGAAGGAACAGAAAGGTTAATTCATTGCACAAATTGACAGTGATTCTTCATTAGTCCCACATCCTGGAGGATCAGGAAGCAATAGAACCTGAACTTGGAAACAGGTTGGAAACAGGTATCCAGTGTGGAAGCCTCTGATGCAATGTAGATTTATTATTATTGTTTCTTCTCTGAGAGGCAGCCTGCACCTTACACATCTTTTATCCTATTGAGTTAGGAAATGCCTACAACGCCTTCTGTCGTTGGAGATACTGCTTAGACATAGCTTAGGTCTTTTAATTAGCAATAGAAAAGATGTTGTGGAATAGCACTTAGAAATGAATAAGCATTATAGAAAAATCTTAGTCATGGAAAGGTAATATAGTGAAAACTGCCATTTTGGAAACTCCACTTTAGTTCCATAGCCGTCTTATTTTAGAAAAGCAATGTCTCAGTTTTGCTTTAAAAAATTGTAGCAAGCCAGATTCGTGTTACTCTAAAGTAATTAGAGAAGATAATCTCGGCCAATAAGTAAGAATATTTATGCACTCTCTTGAGGAGCCAATTGATAGGCAAATATCAACATCTTGCTTCTGAACAAGCTTTTGCTGAAAAATTATAAGCATTTTCTTCCATGATAATTTGTTCTTCTAAGATTATTTTTGGCTCTTGTGCATTAATTTCACAGTACCGCTGATTAATCTGTAGGTGTACTCATCTTCCTGATAAATGCATATCTTTTAGATTAATGAATTAGAAACAGAAAATATGGAGCTGAAAAATAAGGTACAAGACTTGGAGAACCAGTTAAGAATGGCCCACGTACACACATCACCAGTAAGTACTCTTGAGGAAGCTTCTTTTCTAATACACTTTTATAACTTAAAACATCTTTAACACCTGATTTGCTCCATGATAAATGTAAAGCACTTTTATTAATTGATTTAACTAATGTGTGGTACTGTGTTTAAATAACGGTAAGCCTGTGACAAGTGAAAAAGATTCCTAATCACGCTTCATTTGCAGCTGCTGTACAGTGTATGCTGGCTAATGCAACAAAGTAGCACAGCTAATTGCTTTGTCTTGCATTTCTTGGGAATGTTGATTGACTTTTCCAAAGGGGTTAACTTGTGTCAAGATGTAAGCCTTAGTATCTTTTTTTCTGTGTCAGGATTCAATATGAAATTCAACCATGGAACATATTAAATGAAATATACTAAATATTAAACATATCAAATAAAAATAGATGAAATTACTCTTCTACAGATAAACAACCCATCTGCCTAATTACAGAGTAGTTAACAGAGAGAGCCAAAACATCATAGTTTAGGAGCAAGAGCTCACGGATCAGAAAATGGTTGCCGTCTTTCTTCTCTTTAAAATGTACAGCCTGTTTGAAATTCGTGCTTGGACATTCCTGAATTTTGTGCCATAAGCATATGGTTGCTTATTTGTCTGTATGTGTTATGTGCAACACCTTTAAATTTCCCCCCAAAACTTTCCTAAAAATGTGTGTGAACTGGGAAACCATGTGAGCTTCCTTATAATATGTCTAGCTGATTTACTATTTGCAGTCTTTCTTTATTCGTATCAGAGCATTCCACAATTTAAAACTATGGACACATATGAAATACAGGTAAAAGTAAAAGCAAATGAAAATCTTAAGACAATTAGGCTGTTTTTGACCAGTAACAGATGATTTTAATAGTCTTATCTCAGCCATTTGCTAGAACTTCTTTCGTATACATGATAGGTCGTAAAGTGTAAGCATGTAAGTGCTGTACTGATTGAATTTCTATAGGTCATAAAGTGCATGCATGTAAGTGCTGTACTGATTGAATTTCTCCACAGTCACTGAAAATTTGTCCTGTAGCTCCATTTTACTTGATTATTCTTTCATATTCCTACTTCACTTCGAAGTACATAAGTGACTTCCACATGGTCCAGCAAGAGTCTTGTCCTGGTGGAAGACTCTCTTCAGCATTCATCCATTCGGCAGAGAGTCTTGTCCTGATGGGAGACTCTCTTCAGCATTCATCCATTCGGCAAGGTGTGTTGGTTTTGTTCTCCAAAGGTTCAACATACCATCTTCTGGTTTAATATTTAGAGCATGAAATGTGTGCAGAAAACTTTTCCTGATCTAGGGCAGGGGCTCTCCAAACTTTTCACACAGAGGGCCACATAATATATTTTTTGTATTTTGGGGGGCCGAAGGAATGTGTGCGTGCACGCAGGTTTCCAGCCTCCTGCCCACCCACCTACACACACTTAAATTTTGGGGGGGCCGAAGGAACGTGTACGTGCACGCAGGCTTCCAGCCTCCTGCCCACCCACCTACACACACTCCCACCCATCCACACACACACACACACTCCTGCACACCTGGCCGCCTGCACTCCCACCCACTCACCCTCTCATCCGCACACACTCTTGCATGCCTGCACACACACACGCATGCACACATGCATTCCTGCCTGCCTACACACACACATGGGCCAGATAAAAAGGCCAGGTGGGCCAGATGTGGCCCACAGCCCGTACTTTGAAAACCCCTGATCCTAGGGGGTTGGTGCCCATGAAGAGGATGGGTTTGGTGCTGTATTACTTTATTTCGTTTATTATTTGCTTGCACCTTTCAATGTATTTTTGAAGGGGCAATTGTTTATTATTTGCTGACACCTTTCAATGTATTTTTGAAGGGGCAATGCCAGCCAAATAATAGACTCCTTCAATGGTTGTTGGCTTCAGGCAGCCGGTAACAATCCTGCATGATACATTAAGAGCTAAATTCAGTTGTTTGGCATATGCTAATTTATACCATACAGCACTAGCATATTTTGCTGTAGTACAGGAACAAAGTGGTTGTACTTATTATTTGTGAGTGTTCACTCCAGTCTGACCAGCCATTTTTATAATGTTATTTTTGGTGACAACTTTCTGTTTCATATTTATACAATGTTTTTTTGTAAGTCAGAGTTTTCTCCAGAGTAATGTCCAGATACTTTGGGGTAGTGCAGTGTTCCAAAATCTTGCCTCCCCAGCTAACTTGGAACTTCCTCTCTGCCTCTTTGTTCTTTAAGAGGAAGGCACAGGCCTGTGTTTTGAAAGGGTTTGATTTCATCTGGTTGTTTTTATAATATAAGAGGATAACTGGTGCTCAATGACCTCAAAAGTTTTCCCCAGACTCTCAAGGCAGAGATCATCAGTATGGAGCACGGGAATGTTGGTTGATCGTTTGTGTAAATGTTAACTATAATGGTGCCAGGATGCTACCCTGTGGGAGACCGTTCCTTTGATTTCTTCTCTTGAAATTCAACAAAGAATCTTCCATTTTGAAGTAGAATGGTGACCATTTCTAAAGACCATGATCTGTAGTAGGGAGGTGGAACTTTTTGAGCAGCAGTTTTAGGGGCTAGATGGTATAATATCATTTGTCTCAACTCTTTGTATAATTATTTGCAGTAGTAACTTGGCTGTTGGAGGTTTTTTTAAAAAGTCATGTTTCAGTAATTGATTGTAGATACACTGGAATTTTAAAAAATAAGGGCAATTATATCCATTTATGACAGGAATGGGCAATGTCCAGAGATGTGAGGGCTGCACACAATTACTCCAAGACATTGGAGAGCCACACACCCATGCCCCCCCAATATATTTTTCTTTTAAAAAGACGCGTTTTAAGATTGACAAAGTACTCTTACACCCTCTAGTGGCCAATTTATTTTAAAAAATGCAAATTGAGGGAAGATGTATGGGGTGCTGCCCAGACTCAAGAGTGCAAAAATTATACATAAGGAATAGTTTTAAAAAATTAAATAAAATAAAAATTGGGGATGAAGAGTCTGGTGGCCACCATTCATGCTGAAGTGCCACATTTGAGTCTACATGTGCCCAGGGTCTGCATGCTACCTACACCAGTTTAAGACAGTAACGTTATGGTTTGTGATGATACTATACATATTACCTAAACTAGAGATGGGGATACTTGCATTCATAAATGAATACGAGCACTCCCATCTGAGCTGGACCAATGAGGGTCTGGCCCCCGAGACCGGACCATCCATTCACATGTTCCAGTGCTGCAAAAGTCCCGCTCTCAGCAGCCGAGCAGGGAGACTTGTCCTCCCTCCCCCTGCCTGCAAGAGCCAGCCGAGCAGGGAGGCAGCAGAGCTCCAGGGGCCATGTTGGGAAGAGCAAGACCTTCACAGTGCCGGGATGTGTGAGTGGATGGTCCAGTCCCAGAGGGCAGACCCTCGTTAGGTCCAGCTGGGGTGGAGATGTTCATATTCATTTATGAATACAGATATCCCCACCTCTAATTTGCCTCTTGCAGGCACCCTCATAGAGGCGGGGCTGTTATGGCTCCTCCAGAGTCAGGAATCTGGGATGGGCCTGCACAACACCTGTGGGCCCCGATCTGCCGACGTGCCAAAACGACAGTTCATGCCCATCTCTAGTGTGGGGGTCACTGCTGTGATCTCAACAAAGTTTGCTCTGCCTATGCTTTTACTAGTGCTGGGGAAAGCAGAGATCTTAGTGATGGGATTCCTGGGGATTAGAAGGCAGCTTTGGCTCATCCACCTGCCCATCACTGAGATTGTTCTTTCTTGGCTACCATTAATGTGAGGGCAACAATCTCAGAAGCCCAGTTACTGGGCCTGGGGAGGCAGCCTCTCCTCTACTCAGAATATTCAGTGGAGACTGGAGATAGGAAAGCCACCTCGCCCTGGCATTCTCCAATGAGATTCCTGTTTCTCCGCCACTCTTGGCATTGGGAAAACAGCAGTCCTGGCTGAGATCCTAGTCTTTGCCAGTGCACTTGGGGGGAAGAACGTAGTGACAGTGTGCTGGGAGTGGCACCTGAATCGTGAGTTCTGCATCCCCAAATTATAAGAGCATCTTCCTTTCACAAATTTACGTGGTCTTGACAGCGATACTCAAAGGGTGCTTTACTACCATAATCTTCAGTTATAACAGAGTTTTGTGTCAATAATGGAATCGTTCATAAAGTATCTGGTGCATCAAGATGGTTTCAGAATAATACAGTTGTGACAGACCACGAGAGGCGTATTTACTGAAAGTGAGAATGCCACCATCCTTCCTCTGCTGCACAAATCGAGCATGTGATTCATTTTACGTTGTCACACTTTTTTAAAAACATCCCTACATTCTCACTAATTTTTCATGTCCTTCCATTTGGCTAATCTTCTTTAGTTCTCTTCTCTGTCCTCCTCCTTCCAAGTATCACTAGCAGCTGGTGGTTTTCATTCGATTTTCAATTCCCTCCATTTCTAGACTTTCTTCATCCACCCAGTCCCTAAGCTTGCCTTTTTCTCTGTATGAGAATTTCTAAACATATGAATCTGTGAACACATGCCTGTTCATTGATCTACTGGTCAGTTTGGTTTCTATCCTGCTTTCTAGAAAAGAAAACATTAGAAAAATCATGTATATTGTTCTGGGAGGAAAAAAACGGGATATAAATCAACCAAACAAATAAGTAATAAACCTTAAGGAGGCTTTCTCACCATGCTTTCTAATTGACTAAATAGGAAGATTTCTACAAGCTTTAGAGCAGGGGTGTCAAACATGAGGCCCAGGGGCCATTTGTGGCCCCCCAGATGATAGTTTGTGGCCCTCACCTTGCCTGCCCCCCCCCAAAGCGCCCACACATCCTCTGCTGTCAAGAGTACAAAAAAGCCTTGCCTCGCCCCCTCTTGCACCCTTCATCCAGAACTGCAGCCTGCCAGCCGGCCCACCTGTCTGTCGGCTAAGGAAACTCCTGGGCGGCTTCCTTGGGCCCTTGCTCCGCTTGGCAGAAAATCTGATGCGGCCCAGCCTCACCCAGACTCTGCCTCTAGCGGCCCCTAGGTAAATTGAGTTTAAAACCCCTGCTTTAGAGAGTTACTTGTTTGGAAAGTTAAAATACCCAGATTTCCGCAGCATAGCATGGCCTCTTACTGTACTGGCTGAGGAATCCTCATGATTATATTTCAAGAAGTACATTTTCTACGCTTTGGAATTTTGTATCCAGAAGAAGATGACGTTATGCTAGATTCTTATTTTTCACATATCTGAAACTGCAAGGTTGGAGGTTCTAAGGTATAGAGATTCCAAATAGATTTCTGCATTTCTGTAATGTTTAATTTAAAACAGAGTAGAGAGTAAAAGGTTTATTTCAAACAAGCAGACAGGGTTCCATAATTCCACTCACCTTCTGACCTTGGTAGCATCTCACCCGCCTCCTTGTATCCCCCTTACTTTCTCATGTACATTTAGCACAGAGATCCCTCTTATTGTTTGGAGCACTGAAACTCTGGTGGTGAAAACAAACCTTCTATGAATAGTTAAGAAAACTGTGAGCTACATAGTATTAAACCTGGCGTTACTTGTAAAAACCGCTGGCCCCAGTACTATAATCCCTTCTGCCAGTTCAAAACCGTTGTAGCTAAAAGGAAAGGATCCAATCCATTAAAGAAGCCAGAAACTCTCAAGTAACTGTTTTCTGAGATGTTAGGGTCTGTCCTGCACAAATGTTAAATATTAATTGCTAGTATTGTCCAAAAGATACTCCATTTTTTGCTTCTGATGAATAAGGCCAGCTGTGATATTTTCATTGCACTTCAAGCTCTAGAAAAATACGTTTGTTGTAAACTTCTGCAAGTTCAAAATCACATCACTCATCAAAAGAAAGAGCAAGAAAGCTCTGTGTGGTTTGAATTTCACATTAAAAATAAAACAACTTTTCTCTTTTCAACGTTCCTCTTTAGTCAATTTTTAATATAAGGATTTTAAAACACATTGGAGCGCTGACATTCTTTTTAGTGATTACATTTACAATGAATTTTTCAGCAACACAAGGTAAATAAGTATACATTATGAGTCTTTTCATTGCATATGGAAAACAAGGAACTTGTGTGCAATTGGTTTATACAGTAAACATCTGGAAACAGTTCACAATGGAGATGTTGTGCTTTTAACTGCTCCCTTATTTCTTCCTCCATATTTCTCCCCCAACTCACACCCCATGTATATCATGTGTTCCTTGCATATGCTGCTGACCCTGTGATCTGATAAAGGTAAAGTCTGCATTCACGACTCTGAAACTCCACCCCGTTCATGTTCCATGTATAGATCAATGATATTTATATGAGTTCAGGCTAGTTGTAGAGAGAATTTCCACAGTATTGATGATTTCTCATACATTTTGCTAAGTAAGTTGGTGGGAGAGGTTTGTCTAATGTCCCCTCTCTGTCATAGTCAGCAGACACGTTCTTTCTATCTGCTACACCTTATTCCACCATTGCTGGTAAAATACCAGTGCCGTTAGATGTTTAGTTCTATTGGCAAAGCTTCTAGCAAATCATTTGTTTGGCTGTCAGTTTTGTCAGCTGCATTCTTTTGAGAATAAACATCTTGCATTGGCATTCCTTTCTCTTAGGCCTGTGTTTCTTTCCTCGTTCATCCTTCATAGTATCTTAAGTATTTTCTCTGACAAATGTTAACCCAATTTTAAATTTTAAATTCATATTTTGTTATTTAATAATCTGGGGTTTCAGTTAAGTGTGAAGTTTAGTGTGAGGATACTTTGCAGCTTCTCTGTATTTCATCTGTATTGATGAATATTACAACAGATGAGACTCCCACAGCAGAAGACCACAAACGTTTTTCAATAAGATCCTCACCAAGAATACAAAAGGATGGTTTTCATTTCTATTTATGTTTTTTTACATTGTTCCTTTACAAATCTGAATACATTTTTTTAATTTAGCAATTTTTTTCCCCTTTTGCTGTCATTATTATTATAACGGCCATACATTAAAGGCACATTTGTATGTAATATGGACTAATGCTGTTCCAACCATTTCCTGAATAAGTATGTAAGAAGCATTAATAAAATGGAACGGTGGCTGTTACAATGTGGTTTCCATCACTGGGTGCAGACTTTAGCTGTATTCTTCAGTCTTCCCACAAAATGAAAAGTTTCACTGAGGAGAGGAGCACCGGCAGAACGTTCAAGAATTGCTGAGTGTACAACCACAATTGTACATTATATTTAGCAGTGATCCTTATGAATAGGATTTCTTTTACTCTGTGTGTGCTGCTCATTTTTGGGGCTTCTTTTGACATTAAATCAAAGGCCTTTGCTGGTTTTCATTCTAATAATTTGACCATGGATAGCTGAGTTGATTTAAGTATCTGGTGGTGGAGCCAGAGGTTGGAAGTCGGACTTCCCACTGTACCTCCAAGAAGAAGAGCCAGCCTGTGTGGCTTTTGGCAAGCTGCACGATCCCAAGGCATCCCAAGAGGAAGGGAGTGGTAGGGTAGTTAATTTTTCTTCATACTGCAGTAAGCATTTTGATTCTTAAGATAAGTTTTTTTTTATCCATCCCAAGTATCTAGTGGTGGAGCCAGAGGTTGGAAGTCGGACTTCCCACTGTACCTCCAAGAAGAAGAGCCAGCCTGTGTGGCTTTTGGCAAGCTGCACGATCCCAAGGCATCCCAAGAGGAAGGGAGTGGTAGGGTAGTTAATTTTTCTTCATACTGCAGTAAGCATTTTGATTCTTAAGATAAGTTTTTTTTTATCCATCCCAAAATGATATTTAGATGCTAGTCGGCATACTTTGAGGAGTCCTGAAAGAATTTTAGAATGTTGCTCCATACCTGTTCTGAACAGACAAGATAACCTTTTCCTGCTGATGTTTCTGGAAATCTGTGAAGGCTGCTGCCAATTGATTTGCAGTCGTTACTTTAAAAGAAGCATATTAGGAGGTCTGTTTGGCAGTTAATGAACTGAACAGTATCTGTCTGTTCCAACCAGTACCAGTAAGCTAGAAGAATAGTCAACATTTAACAGTCACTACTTAAGTAGTGCACATGTTGAAGAGGAAACCCTAGAAAATCAGATATTTTTTTCTCTTGTGGAGAGCCTGCACATGACCAGATACAACTTCTATGTAGACACATTGCACTTCCATAGCATAGCATAGGCATCCTTCAGTCTCGAGAGACTATGGTAACATGCTCTGAATCGAGGAGTGTCCTCTCCAGAGCATGAAGCCCGGGTAAGGTAATATGGAGGATAGGCTGTTACCCAAGCAGCAGATCCCCCCTCTCCACATTGCTGAAATGGTCCAATGGAAAGGCAAGAGCCAATACAACTGGTTCCAGCAATGTCGCAGGAGTTGGCAGAACGACACATGCTGCCTTTGGGACTCCAGCTCCGGATTTTGCCTCGAGGTTAACTCCTGAAGCCTTTTCCATGAGTGGATATAGCCACAAGGCAGTGGAGGTTTGAAATCGGAGTTTTCCTTCTCCTAGATGGGCTACCTTCCATGGCTGACGAGCCCCAACTACCCGGCCTACTCTTTAATAGTGCACATACTACTGTCGTTATTTTATGACTGGCAGAAGATTTAGTCCCTCAGCTAATGAAAACATGTCAACAATGCAAACAATGGCAAGCAAGGAAACATTTTTGATTCTTAAACATTGGGCAGTGTTCTGAAGGAAAATCAGGAAAGTGAAGGACTGGAAAAAATCACAATGGTTTCCATCACACAGGGGGAAAAACACAGGGGGAAGAATTTCTCCTGACTTTTTTTTCTTTTCCCCTGGGGTTTCATATTTCTAAGGTAGATTTTCTTGTAAGATATCAAATGCTCTCAATATCACACATATTCACAATTTTTGTGTAAAAAAATAAATAAGTGTTGATCTCTTACTTCAGTTTCTAGATGAACTACACACACAAACACACACACACACACAGACACACACTTCATCTGACTGGGGTGAAAAGTAGATCCGTAATAGAAGAACACCTCCATTTTTATATTACAAAAATAGATATTTTTAATTAATGCTCTCATATACAACCTATACAAATCTATTGCTTTAATTTATATTTATAGAGTCTTAAACTATATAGCACAATATTTATACGTATTTGCATCCAAGAGCCCAGATGGCCTAGTCAACTTGAGTGTTGTAATAAGCTCCTTTTGTGTAACCATTTTGTGAGAGGAGTGGTTTGTGAAGTTGCATTAAATACACAACAATACTGGGCTGTGCTTTAACCACCCAGCCATATTTGCCAATTATAGTCAAAATAATTCCAGCCATGAAAATTCACAAGCATACCTGAGGTTATTTTGGATGCAGCAAATATGAACATTCCATTTAATTTATTCTTTAAAAAGACGAACATGTTGAACTGCCTCCTGCCAGCAGAACTGGATTACTCATTGTTGCTGATATGTATCTCAAGTATATCTATAGATACTTTTTGCTCCTATATTGTTAAAAACGAGTTTGCAAAATTTTTTTAAAGTGCTCTTTTCTTACCTTTCTCGTAGAACTTTCACTCCTTAGAACATTTTTCTCTTTCTTTTTCTTGATTCCTTTACAGCTGCTGCACATACAGTCTGATTATGAATGCCACATGTTTCAAAGACCCTCCACCTTTTTCTGGTGTGACAGTGAGGATTCTGCTCCTTGTTTAGATATCTCTTCCATTACACTCACACCTATGAGCTCTCCTGACTCCAGACAGTCATCTGGACTATTGACACCACCACCTTCCAAAAGTGGTCTTCCAAAGCCAGTCCATGAACACAGCATCCCAAGACCTCGTGTAATCCAGCTGGGCCCAAACAGTCTTTTCCCCCCCACGTTTTCTACCTTTCTTGTGTATGAATTATATCAAATGGCTACATTTTGTACAGTGGTTAAAGGACAGACCAGATGTGCTTCATATCCTTATGGGTAATTCAGAAATGATACACATTCTTGCCCTCCTTTATCTTGGTCGTAAAAGAACACTCTGTTTCCAACACTTATAGTGCCTTCTCTTTCAGAAATGTCTAAGAATGAACTTGTGCTGTGTTACTTGGGTAGATAAGTTGTACCTGGAGAGTAATTAATGCTCATATACCTCAACCCAAAGGGCACCAACATAGAAATAAGGTCCACAGAGCTGAAGGCAATTTATTGCTAAGTGGGTTCATTTAGCCTCTCAGTCCTGCCTTGATGAAGGGTGATGATGCTGAACATTGTTTTTATACAGTGCTTCAATAAATCAAGGGACTTTTACAAGATAAAATGAGTGATGACACGTATTGACAAGTTCACCTCCTAAAACTGAACAAGTCTAAGGAGTTGTCATTGAGCAGCATAAATTATTCAGGATAGTATGGGGAGTCAAAAGGAGGCATGAATTATTTGATTTCTTTTACAAAGTTCTTTTTAACTCTGTGCAAAATGAAGATTGTCCATTGTTTATTCGAAAGAGGGGCTGTAATGTGCTTACTTATTTTAAAAAGTGGGCTGATTTGCAATTAAACGTTGGCTGTCCCTGGCAAATGTGTTCGCTTTATGCATGGTTTTATTCAATAAAAATGCTTCTTCTAGTTATTCAGGTAGTGCTTGCATACAGTTCTTTGAAAATAAATACTAGTTCTCATTAGTGTCGATGTACTTCAAAAAACACAAAAATCAATATGTGTTCTCTGTGTGTGGATGGGAACAGGTGAGGTTTAAGAGATTTAGATAATACTGTTGTGTCTTAATTTTTCAAATAGCTGCAACTCTATTAATTTATCATAGCACATACTAGAATTTGTTATAAATATCAGCAGGTGATTTGTTTATGAATCCATAGAGAATACCTTTAACTAAAGAATAAGTTAAAATAGTAAGAATCCAAGAAGCTACTATAGTCTTGCTTTAGCGTGTGTCTAGCGAGGCTTCTATACTCATTTTGAAAATGACTTGATTTCCAAAAGCACCATGCATTAGATCTCGACTAAAGTAACCTTGGTTCCCATTGGAATTAATGAAGCAAGTGGCAGAGTAATCCTAACTGGGGCCTGGAAATGGCAAAGTACAGTAGATTTCCTCTCTCATACAGTAGGGAGTAGCATTTCTTTCTGTCCAGCAGACCACATTTCTCTCTCTTGCCTTATTCCTATAACACACCTAAAAGCTAAGGCATACAAACAATACCAAATGAAATAAGCAAATAATTTTGTTCTCATTCAAGCTGAGAACAAAAAATATATTTTTTCACTAATGCTGTTGTTGAACAAAAAGAGAAACACAGGTCATTTTGCTCTCGTACATGAGCAAACAAAAGTCTCACAGTGGTTGACAATACTTTCTTTGGGATCACTGAGATGAAATTCCCTTTTGTGGGGGCAAGAAGACTTGTGAATATTAATTATATTCTGATATTATCCTGTACAATGCTGTACAGTATTGTTAGGTAGCTAAAAAATAACACTCATTGTACTTTCCATAGAAAACAATCAGACTAAGCCTATCTGCCTGCACAAGGACCAATGGCATATTTCTAAAACTGTTAGTCATGTTCATTGCAACATATAAAATCAGGAAACCCACAGAAAAAAATATTTCACAGGAGCTAAATAGCCAACTGTAAGTTGCACTTCAGCAGTCAAACCAGCTTAACTCTCTAGGTAAAATGTGAAGCTTGAAGGACCTCCTTAATGGCTGAAATCCTTTTGCTTAGCTTAGTAAGTTGCACTACAGTGGGCACATTGAATCAATGGGGATTTGGTGAGTCAATTCTCCATAGATTTGGTTGATTCAAATTGGCTTACTTTGCTTGTGATGTATGTTAACATAGTTTCAACTAGAATAGGCTTATTTGAATCATTTGGACATATAGAGTAGTTGACTCACCAAATCCTAACTGATTCTATGGGCCTACACAAGTGCGACTTACTGTGTTGTGTAACAGGATTTGGGACAATGCCTTATACAGTGGACCCTTGACTTACAGACGGCTTGACTTACAGACTTTTTGAGTTACAGACTTCTCTGGCCGCAAAATTTAGGTTTGACTTGCAGCCTAAGAATTGACTTACAGACCAGAAAAAAAACCAAAATGGAACAAAAGCAGCCTGTTACGGGATTAATCGGTTTTCAATGCACTGTAGGTCAATGGAGACTTGACCTACAGACTTTTTGACTTAAGAACCGCCTTCCAATACGGATTAAGTTCTCAAGTCAAGACCCCACTGTAGATAAAGTGTTGATGTAACTTTCATAATATTCTTCAGGAAGGTCTTTATATGATTTGTCGCTGCTCTGCTTCTTTCTTAAGTGGTTTGACAACCATTTGCCAAGGTCAGGTATGCTTTAGCTGTAGATTTCCTGCATTGGCAGGGGTTAGAATTTTTTTAAAAAACCCTCTAACTACACAGTTCTGTGATTATCTGCGCAGTGACATAGCATCTAGCAGTTTCCTATACAGTAAACTTCACACTAGATCACGTACCAGTATATTGCTGACAGACCACTAGAAATATGAACTATTTCCAGAGATCTTATAATGAGCAAACTACTCCGTTCACATGGGTACACTGGGAAAATGCTGATGCTTCTTCTAGTTGCATCCCTAGGAGACTGGCAATCCTTGTGTTAGCCTCCTGATTCTTATCATAAATCAAGCTCCTAACTCTCTCTGTAACCCAGCAACAAAACCAATCATGTCTAACTCATTGAAAAGACGGTATGTGGGTCAGGGGGCACTTATTAAATATATAGGAAGCAGAAGGTGTTCAAGTGTATATGTATGTCTATGGTATATGTATGCCTCGTTCCCATATTGGCCAGAACCCTATTAGGGATTCATGTTGACATAGATATAAATGTGTAAGTTGTGGTAGCCAATTACTATTAATTAACAAGTTGCTACTTGCATTTCTTATCGAGCATCAGAGTCCATGACTGGCCCTTGACAAGGAATGTGAGCAGCAACCTGATGACTCAGTGCCATGATATATGCAACTATTTCCATACAAGTGTAAATCTCAGTAGGACATTGTAATTTATAAAGATATTTGTGTCAGGTATTGTTGCGGATTCCATGCTGTGTTTGCTGAGTATTACTATTAATATGGTAGATAAAAAAATAAATTAGTTCCAGTTATTCAGTGACACAAAGTATCAAGGATTCACAGTGAAAGATCCGCCTGATAGAAGAAGGAAAGTTATTTTCAACTTCCTACGAATATCTGCTGCATAATAATAGGATGGGACAGAGCTGTAAAGGGGAGGAGAAATTAAAATCATCCCTTTTACCACCAGAACCATCCGCCACAATCAGTGAAATGCAGCTGGAAGGCTCCCCCTCCCATAAACAAAAATGTACCATTTTTAACAAGTAAAACTTGTCTGAGGTCATGGAGAGCTAAATGGGTACAGTAGACTTGGACACACACGTAAGCCCAACATACCCATGCACACAAAAATGCCTTCGATGTTGGCACATCAAGCACTCAAGTTCCCTAGATGCTCAGCTGAACATACAGACCTACCATAATCAGGAGTGCAGGCAAATGTGCTGACTGTCTTCTCTGCAAGAACTTTAGGCTCAACCAAGAAAAGTTTGATAGGGAGAGTCTACGTGTGTCCTCGGGTTCCCACCATGATGATAGCCTTATTCCCACAGTTAAGACCACTGTGGCCTTACTTAGTGCCTTGTTTCAGTCACAATTCTATTTCTACCTTATTTCTGGCTACTTTGTCTTTAGGACTGTCTAGTTTTTTTAATGGTAATGGTCATAATAAAATGACTGTCAAATCTGGTATTTACTCTTAATCAGAGAAAAGATCATGCAACAGTTTTTTTCCCCTGTGGCCTGATTTTCCTGGGCTTTATTTAATAAGATATTAGAGGCACTAAGCAAAAAATAGCAAAACTTGCTGATTGACTATGATAGAATGTTTTCCCAGCATTGAGAACAAGTGATCTGTCATCGTGTCAGAAAATTAATCCTATTATGGCATAAAATGGAGTTAATAAAATGAAATCTAAGGTTTGTCTCTTCATTTGGGTACCAGTTCTCATTTATAACCTGTAACCTTGGTTACTGAGCATTGTCTCTCAATTTTTCTTACCACAAAATAGGATTATATAATTCTTTTGTATCTATCAGCCGTGTAATTGCATAGACGTACAGGATATAAAGAAAACTTGAAATGCTGTAGCATTAGTTGTATGGATGAAGGCTTCAGCATGGCTCATAAACCTTGGGCTGCAAATGCTATTTCCTCAGTATTGGCTATTTGTTTTCGCATGCCACTTCATTTGATCATGTAACTTTTTTATCTTCTGCATGCAAAAATAAAAAATAAAAATTGTGATTTTGTTTCATGTCAAATATTGCTCTGTTTATTGTCCTTATTGTAGGCAGGCAGTGTGACACCTAAATCACCCTCCACTGACATCTTTGATATGGTTCCCTTTTCTCCCATATCCCCTCAGTCATCAACACCTACTCGCAATGGCACACAGCCTCCACCAGTGCCAAGTAGATCTGCAGAGATCAGTAAGTTTTGTAACAAATGACCTAACTTTTTAATTATGGGAAGGGAGGGAGGGAGAGGGTGTTTTCCAGGCAATCAGAAGGTTTTAATTCCATCTTCATGCTAAGCCAAACACAAGGTTTTCTGTATTTTTTTGGAAACCATGCATTTAATAGTGATAGTCTTTGGGTGGGGGGATTCACTACCATGTTGCACAATGTGACGCTTGGATATACGTGCAGTTGAAATAATCGCACAACCTTGGTTAGAAATTAAAGTGCTCTTCATAGTCTGATCCTATTTAGCCAGGAACAATTTCCTGGTTACCCTGCCTGGCTTATTAAAAATCATACAAAGTGCTCTTGCTGTATTTATTTATATTGAATTCCTTACTGGATATTATAATATGTATGTCAAACTGCATATATACCACAGGGCACAGGGTTGGGATGTAGTGATATGATCCCGGAAGCATGGAGTTTCATATTTATTTTTGCATCTGGTTTGTAAGTTTTATAGGATGCTTTTTCACATCTGAAACAGCAGCATTTGAATCCCATGTGAAATCTGAGCAAAGCACTTCTTGATTCTTTACCATTCCAAGTTAGTTATGATTCATCTGCTGCTATTCTCTCATATACCCCTATGTTGCATAAGTAACTATTGTCCCATAATCTAGTAACTGAAGACACAGAATGTTAAAATGATACTGTGAAGAACACACTGCCCAGTTACTTCTGCCTCAAAGAAGAGAAATAATTCATGCTCTGTTTCAGAAGCACCCATACAGTGCGTTCACATTTCTGAGAAGCAGATGTTGGTGGATTTACTGATTTTAATTTCACCCTGGGCGTCTGTGATTACTGCTTAACATAATAAAGTCATCAAATCAGTTTCCATTCATCATGTATCATGCAATATCCATTGTTACCATTAATTAACGTGTCCAATTATTTAGATTTTAGAATTATAAAGGAAATAAGCAAGAGCGTACCAGCAACTGATGCTGAGGAAAGTGGCCCACAGTTATGTTTAGCTTTCATGGCCTTGATGTCAAGAGGCAGCTTTTCTTGTGAATTCACACCTACAATATATAAAATCCATCCATGGCTAAAATCATATGCTATCTCCTTTACAAATTGGCTGGTCTCCACTCGTCCCTCTTGCTTTTATGATATATCTCAAAGCCTGAAGCAATAGCTTTCTTTGAGGCCATCCCATAGGCTGTCCTGAGATCCACAGACCAGATTTTCCTCAGAAGAATTATTATGTCTGTGTAAATGTTGCTCTTTTCTTCAGGAGAATCTAAAAGAAATGTCCAAGGTCCACTGTCTTCACAGAATAACATTGCAGGTCTGAGATTTAAACGAGACACTTTCTTTTTCAGAGTTGATGACATGAAGAACCCCAATGATCTGTAACATGAGAAATAATATTAGCCTACCTTACAGGGTTGTTGTAAAGATTATTAATCAGTGATTAAGATATAAATAAGTTGTCAGGAACAGCACTCAGGTGATGTGTTACCAGTAGAAAGTGCTGTTTTTATTCTGAGAACCTCTTGCCCACATAAGATGCAAGCCAACATGTCTTATAATTTCACTGAATTTTGTAGTCCACTGCATTATTGTTATGATGCATTGTAATCAGATCATTTTATATATATATATAGGTTGCAATTGTAGAAGGTGCCATCATGACTCAAGATTTTGAAAGTACAAATTTAAATTCCAACCTTCTTGATCCTGAAAACGTCATGACCAACACAAACCATGCATCTATAGTTGATCTAGGTTTTCCAGGCTGTTTGGCCATGTTCTGAAGATTTTTCTTCCTAACGTTTCGCCAGTCTGTGTGGCTGGCATCTTCAGAGGACATAAGTGTTCGTCAGAGGACATGCTTCTATACTTTTACCTTGTTTGTGATACAGTTGTAGTTAAGAAGTCTATATACATGACAGTGTTCACTAGGATTGTTTGGAAGGATATGCAGTCACTCTAATCGTATCTGAAAGCTAAAATGATTTATCATGGAATCTTAGGATGGAGAGAGACATCTAGTGAAAACTGATTTAGGAGAGTAAAAAGAAAACTTATAATGATAGAGAAAATACTGTGGGGGTTTTTTAATGCAGACAAGTGCATAAAACCTGCAGTTCATTTGTATAAATCTGTTCTGTTGGGATAAAGCCCACCTACTTTTTTTTTCTGAACTTGTACTGTAGATCAGTTCTAATTGCTAGGCTCACCAGGCTTGTATAAAAGCAAATGAAAGCCCAGGTGTTTACAGATAGCTAAAATAACACTGCATAATAATTCTGTAGGATCAAACAAAGAGGACCGTACATGACACAACATTTCTATACATGTCATGTGATCAAACTTGCCCTGGAAATGTATTTAGAGAGAAAAATGTGAACATGAATGTTAGATCATTACCATTTTATGATAACTTCTTCAAGGCGGTACAATGCAGTGATCTGCAGCATGCTGCTAAATTGAACTATTTGTGTTTCAAGTTCACAAAAACCACCATAACTCTGGCATTAGAGGTTGACATTAGGGGCACATGGGGTGAGAAGTTGACCGGGCATCTTCACCTCCTGAGATTCTGTATGCTTTACCCCCCATGTGTTGCTAACTCACTGTTCTCGTTTTGTTCTTTCTAGAGAGAGACCTCTTTGGAGCAGAACCTTTTGACCCTTTTAGCTGCGGAGCAGGAGATTTCCCTCCCGACATACAGTCCAAATTAGATGAGATGCAGGTGATCCAATATTTACTGTTGCAAAAACAAAACAAAAATAAAACCACTAACTCAAATGTTTCCTACACTGTGTAAACACAGACATCCTAAGAAATAGATCATGCCACGGGATAGGGGGTTCATAGGCTATGTGGCAATACAGCAAGGGTAACAGAAAGCAGAAGGACTGGTGCTTTTATTAACAGAGAACTATTCAGGATCTGTAGGATAACTTCTCCACTTCCTGATGGTTTATATTCGCTGTCATCTAAAACATTTGTTGTACACACTTGTGCAAGATTTTTTTTCCAGAGGCACAGTGTCTAGTGCGCAGTTGTGCTATCTCTGGTAAAGAAGGAGTGACTTCATGGGAGCTACACTGAGAGTTTGATTTCAGTTTACCATAGTGAATGCAATCATGGTGCCATTATTATTTGTCTGCCAAGAACATACACTGTTCCATAAGTGTTCTTAAGACAGCCTGACACTGCATTTCAAGCCTCTCAGAACTCTTTGGCTAAGGCTTTGTAATGCTGTGGCTAAAATCCAGCAGTAATTTGCAAGTTGAGTAGGCCCACTGAATTCATGGAATTTAACAGAGGAATTGATTGACCTAATCCCCACTGATTTAGTGGGCCTACTGTAGTTGTGACTTACTACTGGATTAGAGCCTCTGTAACATTATCCATCTTTACAAAATGAGAAACCAGTTGGGATACATTGATTAGGGAGGGAGGGAGGGAGGAAGGGAGGGAGGAAGGAAGGAAGGAAGGAAGGAAGGAAGGAAGGAAGGAAGGAAGGAAGGAAGGAAATCTAATTGCATAAGAGATTTGTACCATAATTCAAATCTTGACAGTGGGGAACATTTAAGTGCAATCCTATACTTGTCTACTCCTGTAGAATTTCTGTTAGATTCAAGGAAGCATAATACCTTTTAAATGTGTATAGGATTGCAACCTTAGATCAGTAAAGTCTCTCAGGCTCAAGAAACTTTATATGATACCTGTACATATTCTGTTATCTCCTCATAATGTGAATATCTTTAAAAGAAAATCAGTGTTCATTTCATGTTTTCTGATGTAATATTCAATTTAGTTGTGTATTAAACACATAACTGAATTAGCAGTTTTATTACTTTTTTAAATCAGATTACCAAAAGCTCTAATACCAATTCTGTTTTTTTAATGCTTTCATGGATATGCAGCGTCAGCGATGGTTGGTATACAGTTTTTCATAAACTTTAGTTTCTTTCCACTAAAAGCTCAATTTTCTAATGTTACTGTCCAGATTCCTTTAGCATCTAGCCTCAGTGGAATTGGGGTGGTCTTCCCCTCACTCTCCAGCCATCCAAATGTGTTCCAGAAAGGTTTTCAGTTTATTTATTTAGAATTTTTTACCCTACCTTTCTTCTTAAAAAAGACCCAAGGTGGCTTACATCAATAAAAGACAATATTTAAAGGAAAAAATATAGTAATTGTAATTTCCTGTATCCAAACATGGTGGCATATGAGGCTATACAGGGCATGCCTGTTGTGAACAGAAAGGAGTAATTTTATTAAGCTTTAACCTGAAGGCCAAAGTGAAATGGTGTACCTGTACAAAAAGCCTCACCACCACTGGGTATGTATTCTTGATTTACTTTATATATCCGTGGTCACTTTACCAGATATTTCCTGCAAGAACAATAATAAAATTAAAAAATGGCAAAACCCTGTATACATAGACATTCAGTTCTAAACATCTAACAATAAGGTTTCTCCATGAAAACCTTCCAGCAGTCAGTCAGAAACAAAAGCAGAATACTTTTACTTTGAAAATTGGACTTTTCCAATAAGCCCTCACCGTAGCATTCTGTACTAACGAACTGCTCCGAAGTGTCCCTGTCTAGCCAAGAAACACTTCTCATCTTTACACTTACCTTGTAAGACACTTTCTAGCTAATGTTTACTTCGGCATATGTTGTTCTGCTGAAATAGAGCCATTTCCTCCTCAGATCCACATCCAGGGAGGCCTGTTCCAGCTGGAAATGAACATATGTCAATACCCTTCAACAATAGATATTCCCTGTGTGATTCTCTATTTGCAAGTCAGCTAGAAAGGAATGTGGTACAACCCACTATCTTTTCTAGTGGGGTTTTCTATACTCTGTTGCACGGAGGAATATTAGCTATGGAAGTAAGGATGAGACAGGTTCCTTAGGAGTTACATTTCTCTTCCTCTTCACTGGGTGCTATTTCCTTTTTAGTGGTGAGCTCTACCATTAATACAAAGCAATAAAAAGAAATTATGCAGAAGATTTTCTTTATACAAGTTCTGCATATTCCTTAAGGTACTTCGCTGATTTCCAAAGCTGTTTCTCATGCATGACTTTAGCAAAACGAGTGTTTTTAAATGGACTTAATTAGCCATAGCCAGTCTCTTTTGTCTAAATATCAAACAAACATGCTTTTCTTTTCAGCTATCCAAAATTAATATTTTGCCAGGTGCCTTTGTTAAAGCAGGACCGCTGTGTTTTAAATGATAATGGAATAGGGTACAGAATGAACGAACGTTCATACCTAACTGGATTTTTAAAAAAAAAATTCCTTCAACTTATGAATGTAGGAGGAACTTACAAGTCATGAAAAATAGTTTTATTCAGGAAAGCTTATCTCCTATAATTTACTGAAGATGGGAAACTAAAATACACAATGGGAACTCTGAAACTATTACTGTTGGTCTGCATTGCTCATTGCGATAAGGATCACCTATGAAGCGGTTGCAGACTCCCATTGGCGATACATCTTGGAGCAGAGTCATGACGACTGGGCTGTTGAATGACTCACGGTGTACAGCAAAATGCACACAATCTGCTTTTTAAAGTATGTAGGCCTGGTGGCTTTGAAAAGCTCTGTACAACAGCCCAGTGAGGTTCTCTTCATATTGTCCTATCCCCTCAGCAAATAATATAGAAGAGGAGATAACATATGGTGTTCTTATTTTTCTAAAACATTTGCAGTTCAGTTCTGTGACTCCTGAAGTAGCTTAAAACTAGCTTAAAACACATTATACCACTAACCACAGTAAAATAAAATAAAACAAGAGCATGAACATAAATAATCAAATTTAAAAGGTAGAGCTCTCATGGAGCTCAAAAGCCGTATGAGATTTAGTACCAGAGAAACTTCTGATAGGACAGTATTTCCTTGTTTGCCTCTTGCTTAATGTAAGAGAAAGGGGTGACTCTAGAAAGGGCCTGAGAGGAAGACCTACGAAAGCATACAGAGGATTGAAATGGGCATTCTGAAGCACCTTTTGGTAGACCAGCGACCTGCACAATGTGGTGGTGATTGTGGGCAGTGCTTGTTGCGGTGCCAGAATGTGTGGCCGTCTTGGGACAACAGCTTAGCCACTGGCTTTTGGACAATAGAAGTAAGCGACTGCAGCCAGATTGGAAAGTTAGTGATGAACCTTCCACCTTAGAGCAGTCAGCGCTACATTCTTGAGGCAGCCAAGGGCAGGGGAGACACCAGAGAAGCCAGGGCTTGAGCGATGGTTCTTCTCTTCCAGTTACTGGCCTACATACAAGGTACTGTATCTGCAAGGACTGGTTAGAGCTGCGTTCTGATACATTACCATAGTTTGCATGCTGCTATAATAAAGTGTCTCTGTGAAAAACTTTCTACTTTCTTGGGATATGATAAAAGTTGACCAATCCCAGTCAAACAGACTAAATTGACCCAACAGATTATTGGATTGAGCTTCCAAATAAAGAAAAATTATAAAACAGTAAAAGATCAAGATTTTGACAGGAAAACACACCCTGTCATTTTCAGGATACAAACAGCATACTAACTACATTGCATAGGGTGATACACACTCAATGTGGCTACATCACACAACATTCCAGGTGGACTAATTGCTGAATCAACCTACTGCTGTCCTAATAAGGTCAATTACAGGAAGCCACAAATCACTAAGTCCTTGCTCTTCTTCACGGTTCAGCACATTACTTCTCACACGTATCTCTAAAGACTCTCTTATCAGTTTCAAATTCCAGCAGTGCAGTTGAAATAGCATCTTTGTTTTATTAAAGTCAGTTTCCCATCCATGTTTTGCCAATGCAGACTTTTTTTACTTAGCCCAATCTAAGGCAATGATGCTCCTTGCCTCAAATTTTAATACTTCTTCCCATCTGTCTGATATATGTCAAACCACAAGAACACGGTATCTCATAAACACCTGACACACCTTTACCCAGAGAACCCTTCGCAGGCTGTGTACACTGATTGATCTTTCTAAAAGGTCTGAAAACAATTTTGATCCCAACTTCCTTTGGCAGTCTTTCAAGACAATTAGATACAGTACTGTGCTGCAGAAGGTCAAAATTGCAACACCTCTTATCAGGTCCTCCTCTTCGTCTTCTAATTTCTTCCCCCTCCCACCTTGGAGCACTGTGGAAATATCTTTCTGATTATACCCATTTGACTGAAAAGGTTTCCCTTAAAATCCCCAGGTTTTTTTCTATATGATCTTTATCCAATATAGTTCTTGCTCTGTGTATTAACGTTTACTGAACATTTTTGCACTAGATAATGATGGCTAACACTGTTGAAACAGAGATTAGTATAAGTTGGTTTCCTATATACACTTCTGCCTAAAGAACCATCTTTATTCCTATGTACCTACACATCCAAAAAAAGGTAATTTTCTATCTCTTTCTCATTCTGCTGTAAACTATATATTAATACGGATCTTGTTTAAATATGCTACAGATTCATATAATTTTTCTTCTCCATTTGGCCAAATCAAGAAGGTATCATCCACATACCTTTTGTAAAAAAAAATGGTTTAAAAGGTGCGGATGCTAAAGCTTGCTTTTCAAATGCTCCCATATAGAAATCAGCTACTACTGGGGGACAAGGGGGACCCTATTGCTACTCCATCTACCTGTTCAAACAACTTCCCATTAGACATAAAATAAATTGATCTAAGGACAAATTTAAACAATTCTGCTGCTGATGGAGTATATAATGGTTCTAATAACGATAATGTGGCTTCCAGTGGGACCCTAATAAACAACATTACATCTAAACTTACAAATAAATAATTTTCGGATATGACTATATCTTGAATTTTTTGTGCAAATACCCTGGAGTTTTTAAAATGAAACTCAGCTTGATTCAGCATGGGGTTCAATAAACTTACAAAATACTTTGCAGTTTTATAGGTGGGGGAACCATTGGTGCTTACAATGGGGCATGAAGGACATCATTTATTAATCATAGTGGTTTGACATAAATTGGGCAGAAGGGAATAAGTATTGAAGTTCAAGGCAAGGAGCATCAGCATTATTATAGACTGGGCCAAAAAGAATATTCTGCCGTATGCCATTTGTATCCTGAAGATGACAGGATATGTTTTCCTGCCAAAATCTTTGTCTTTTGTTGTTTTATTAAAGTTTTTACTTGAAAGCTAAACCAGTTAAGTTGTTCGAGTCAATTCAGCCTGTTTGACTGGAATTGGTCAACTTTTAAAGCGTGTCCATATATATTAAAATAGTATAAGAAGTTTAGGATTCTAAGGCAGGATAACCATCTCTTCATTCTCTTGAAGATACCCATAACACATATGAAGTGAATTGGGAAACTTCGTACTGAAACAAAAATTATCCGTTACTTACATACATAATAATTTTAAAACAGGTAAAGTGCATTAAGGAAAATGTGAAAGTATGTTGCGGTTGCTTTTGTTTCATAGTTTTTTAACTACAGATTATTTAATGAAAGTGATTTTACAGTGTGTCTTCCTGTGCTCTTGTTTAGGTGCCATGTTGTGGGGTCTCTAAAGTGCTCAGGGTTGCTAAATCGCTTCATCAGAAGATTAGACTTCATAGAGATCGTAGGATTAAGCCTTAGTTGCACCATGGTATATGAAGATACAAAAATTTGTAGAATATGTTAATGTCAGTTGTAACTCTTTTTAAATGCATTTTTGCAAAATGATTTTGCAAAATTCATTGTGGAGGGGGTTAATTTCTATCTGCATATTAGGCTAGACCAATGGTTCCCTACCCTTTTCAAGTTGTGACCCCTTTTTATAGTAGCCAAGTGACCTGTGACACACACACACCCCTGGCCATGTTTGAATAAAAAGGCATTTTTAAAGTCATTCTTCTCAGAAAGTAAAGGCTTCTTTCTCCCCTAAAGGGCCTGTTTCTCATACATACACAATAGCCCATTTCAAAAGGTCAAGGAAGAAATTATTTAACAGGGGCTGCAACACATGTAAGGAAACCATGCCCTCCTGCCCCCAAAAACACTTTGTGACCCCTTTGGAAGTCATGACCTCCAGGTTGAGGAACACTGGGCTAGACATAACAACAAATGGAAAAATAATGGTTGATTGCTGAGATGAAATAAATAATGGATTGTGATATTACATTAAGAAAATTGAATGAAAGCTTGAATGAAATATGCTTTCACAGCACATGAATATGTGAGTGATTTCAAAAATAGCTTATCAGAGAGTTATACCTTAAAATGGCACATTCACAAATAGATGAAAAACTATGAAAAGTCAAGTAGATTTCTACTATAGTGAAAAGTACTTCTCTTCAAATTATAACGTGTGTTAACAATCACATCATTTTGATGATGTATTTCTTCTTCTTTTGGCAAAGAATAAGTGGCCACCTTAGTATTCACCCACAAGAAACATCTGTACAGATGTTTATGGAGAAAGTTAATCTACTAGAACTTGACACATTCCTTCTCAGTATGCTAACATTGTAGCTGGCTGGATAGCTCAGCAAGTTAGGTCTCCAGTTGTGGAGCCAGAGGTTGGGGGTTGGATTCCTCACAGTGCCTCCTGCAAGTAAAGCCAACCTCTGTGGCCTTGGGCCAACTGCACAGTCCCAGTGTGCCCCCAAAAGAAGGGAATAGTAAACCACTGCTGAGTATTCTCTACCTTGAAAACGCTGAAAAGAATAATCATAAGTCAGAATTAATTTGATGGCACACAATTATTGTTATTATGCTAACACTACCCTAGTAGGATTGGATCACAAAGAAGATAGGTTTAGGGCCCAGGGGTCTCAAACATGTGGCCCGGGGGCCATTTGCGGCCCCCCAGATGATAGTTTGTGGCCCTCGCCTTGCCTGCCCCCCCAAAGCGCCCACATATCCTCTGCTGTCAAGAGTAAAAAAAAAGCCTTGCCTCACTCGCCGGCTCTCTCCCAAGACAGCACCTCTTGCACCCTTCATCCAGAACTGCCGCCTGCCAGCCAGCCCACCTGTCTGTCGGCTAAGGAAACTCCTGGGCGGCTTCCTCGGGCTCTTGCTCCGCTTGGTGAAAAATCTGATGCGGCCCAGCCTCACCCAGACTCTGTCTCTAGCGGCCCCTAGGTAAATTGAGTTTAAAACCCCTGGTTAGGCCTTAAATCCCTCATGTACACCATCCATATGTCTACGTCTAGACAGCAACTGGATGAATACAGTTGAGATGGTTCCTAGTTACAATTTTGCCAGAAAAATCTTACAACTCTTCTCTTAATTATTCCTATCATTTCAGTATTATACTACTAATTGTCAGTTTCCTGTCGACAGGTAACTTCAGCTGGGAATCATTAAAGATTCTGGCGCTCCCAGTTCTAACAGATGCCTTAGATATTTTGAAATATGATTGACCTGATCTATAATGTGCCCCAGGAACTGAAAGATGTAATGCATGTGTGTTGTTTTTCTGTACCTAGCTGTGAAAAGTTTTGGAAAATTGACAAGATAGCATAGCTAACGGTCCTAATTCATACATCATGCGAACATTGTCTTGTCTCTCTTGGCATGTGTTTCGTAACTACTCATTTTTCATTTCCTGTTGTAAGAGAGAGATCCCTTGTGCATTTCCTATAACAGTGAGGTGAATAGTGAAGAAGGATTAATCACAGCTTTAAAATTGCCTTTTTGTTGACTACATCTCATTTGTTATCAAATTCCACCTGCCTTCATTTCTTGTACTGAAATATTTCAGGAGTATTCTGTCACTGTTTCAACCATCCACACCCAAATAGCAAGTGCCTATTACCCTTCCTATTAAGCAGCATCTCAAATACAGATATGCCACCTCCAAAATTTCACCCATTTTATTAAGACTCAGCTATGCACTAAATCCTCCAGAAATGTTCCCCAGTGAAGAAATTGCAAATTTGCTTTGAAATCTACGTTTGGCAGAATTTTTATGGGAATATTGTTTTTAATTTGAGAGCAATCCTCTGGTGTCATTATATGTGTTATATGACAGTATATTGATTAGATCTTGGCAAGATATTTTGTACACTGGCCATCCATAATAAATTTAGCTAAGCAGTGGACATAGGCAGCTTAGAGCCTAAAACCATCTGTCATGTTGTGACGTTCGCCCTTGTGGCCCCTGCATGTCTTTCCCTCACAAAGGCTCACGTTGCACTTTCCTCTCACTGACATCAGTGGATTACTTCAGTCCACAATATAAATGACGTTTGTCAGAACACTTGACTTGTGAACAGAAACAGAACTTATTTATTGAAGTGAAGCAGATTGAATAATAACAGAAGTTTCTCAGATACATATTATACATAGGCAAATCATCAGCAGTTCTCTCAGTACATACTTCTTGTCTCTTGCAATCCCATTACCACCTTCTCTACCTATTTTCCTAACCAGCCCTCTCTCTGTCAGTATCTCATTCCAATCTCTATCTGACTCCTCCTTCTCCCGCCAAGCCTCATGTAGCTGCTGACTCCGCCTCTCCAGTCCTCTCATAGGTTCATGCAAATCAGCTCATGCATATGAATGGCATGAGTGATGTGGGCGATTGCCACACATGTACAATACAAGTGGGGGGGGGGGAATGAACCTCAATCTGTTACTTGAGGCCCACTTAGCAGTAAGTCTCATAGAGCTCACTGGACTTATCTTTGAGGACACAGCACAGAATTTTGATATAAACATAAGTGCACACACACATAGAAAGCTGATTAGTTCCAGCCATTACAAGACAGTTCAGAACTGTTTCAACATTCAAATAGTGTAATTTTTTTTTTAAAAAAACTTGATCTCTAGTTATACAAGCCTTTCCCCCAGAGTCCATATCAGCATATTCCCATTGTCCAGTATTTTGATATATTAGTGATTTAGGATCAATATAGTGAAGGATGCCATCCTCCTGTAACTTTTTTATTCTCAATTGCTTGTGTTGCCTGAAACACATGTCTGTAATGATGTCATACTGCCATGCATATATTTCCTGTCCTGCATCTCTAGATGCACAATAGGAAGATGTGCAAGTGAGATGACAAGCATTTTACAAGAAGCGACTGCAAGTCCTTATACCTTACACCACCTCATATAAATGTCTGGTTTGCCCATGCCCAAAAGCTGACAGATTGAAATAGCGCATAAGACACCAAAGGTCTTTTATGAAGACGGGTCCAGTTTATTAAATGCTTTGTAGAAATCCAGCCTTGCTTTGATGCATAAATGGCAATCCCAGACTCTTAAAGAAAGCACTCCACTCTTCTCCCCAAATGTACTCGGCAGACCGAATAATGTAGTTTTGATGCAGGTTCAAGTACAACAAAACATGCCAGTAAATGGGCACCAATGTTTTTAGAAGACTCTTTATTCTGTAAGATTTCTTACTTGACTTTTTTTTCCCTTTGTTTTTTTTTTTTTCTGTTCCAGGAGGGGTTCAAAATGGGACTGACGCTCGAAGGCACAGTCTTCTGTCTCGACCCGCTAGACAGCAGGTGCTGATGTCAAGCATCGAATTTTTGAAAGATACGATCTTTTTTTTAAGAAAAGTTTTAAAAATATATTACAAATACTCTTAATGTGCCAAAAATGTTTTCCAACATGTTAATTTCTGTGAAGTTTGCTTCTGTAAAACTCCGGAGAGTTTCCAGTATTATCCCTGTACAAATGTAAAAAAAAAAAAATCACAGATGTATATGAAATGGACATGAAACCACTCAGCTGCTTTTCCTTCCCTTCCCTTTCCACTTTTTGAAAGTTGTCACATGTATCTTAAGGCAACTCACCATGTATTGTGGGAAGTTCTTTAAATCATCCATGAACAGCACATTGTGTTGGTAGGCAGTATCCTATGAACTTGGATTGCCAATGACCACACTTTTTTAAACAAAACAAATGAAACCACCCCAACTCATTTTTTAACTCCAGATCTGTACCGCACGTCAGTATTTGTACAGACAAAAATCATAAGAGCTACAGAAAATCACCATGCATAGCACACATGGATTGCATTTGCCTCGAAACAGATTCCTGCTCTTAGACAAGATCCAATAGGCAATGTCCCCATTCATAGTGCTTGCTGTGAATGGTTTTTGAGCATGCTCAGGACTCCTAGACATAAAAGTGACAGATGAAGACAACCTTGGGAATGTTTGTGCACTTCCAAATCAATGAGATTGTTGTGGGCAGTTGCTCTGTTGACCAGAGCTCTATTGATCACAAATGGCTGGCACCCCATATGAGGCTCCTTTCAATACCCCAGAAGCAGACCAGAGGGGGCACTTTGCCTTTGAGGTCTGCTCCATAGGCTCTGCCACCACAGCACTAACCTGGGCTACTAATTGGGAACTGGGAAAATTCCTTGGGGCTGGAAAGCCACACAGACTTCTGGGTCGCCGACTGTGCCTGAAGGAAAGTATCTGAACCACTCTGATCCCCAGGCAGGGTCACAGATATGGTTGCAGCTGAGCAGGGGCCTTGACCAGAGATTCTAAGACTGGGTTGCTTTCAATTTCCAATAGTAATTAATACCAGAATGCCATCTGATCTTCTGTTTGTTTGTTGATTTTTTAAAAAATATCAGAAATTTTAAAGATCGCTGAAAAGATATCTTGTAGGTAAGCTCATTTAAAAACTCCGAAAGGTGTTTCTGATTCTGAAATCATGACCCAGCTACAACATCATTTTTCAGTGGCATTCATATGGCGATTACTTCTCCGTAGTCCTACACTTAACATGCAAGCATTGTCCATGCTGAAAATCATATTTATGATGGGGATTTGTCCCCAGCACAGAAGACTTCTGGAAGACTTCTCAGTTTCAGAAAAAGGTTAGCTAATACTGTGCTTAGAGTGCTGATGCTTGTTAGACTGCTGGGTGCCGTGGGGAAATATTCAGATGGCTGAGAAGGTACCCGCTCTATATACTTGCCACTTAGACTGAGCCTTCTAAGTTAATTTGAGATTCCCCCCCCCACCACGGAATCCTGACACAATTTACTTGGAGTATGATAAATGAATACATCATCTCATTCTGCATCCTAAGGCAAAGTGTACAGATGAATAATTTGAGAACATTTAATGAGGGAAGGACTAGGGCCATAATAACAGTATGGAGAGGTGAGCCTGGTGTAATTTGCGGCAGAGGGGAGCCCGTTGCTGGGCATTGGTGAATTGCTGCCCACATCTCTGCGCATTGCTTGCACTAGTCTTCAGAGCTAGCAATATATGAACAATTTGTTTCTGCGCTCCTTTTGTTCGCCAAACACCTTGCTTCTCCATGTCTCCGTTTCTCCCATAATTTTTCTCAACGGCTGTCCGAAAAATACCACATTTTACTTTTTTGGGAGATTTTTCTCTTTAAGGACTTTTTCACTGGGGAAAACAGAAAAACCTAAAGGAGTGGTAGAAATGAGAGAGGGGGGGAAAGAAAGAAAGAGATTATTTTGGTAGTTTTATCTTTTAGAAGCAGGGGAAAAGAACTAGTTTTCTGATACTTGGTTTGGAAAATACAGTTTTAGACCTTATATTTCAAAGTTTACACAAAAAATAGAATGCATTTATGCAATACTATTACCTTTTAAAGCTTAGTTCTAGCCTTGAAAGTTTCCTTAAGCAGATGCCCGGGATGGTCCGGAATTCTTCACTTGCTTAAAATTGGGCACCTGCTTAGGTATGTGGCTCCACTGAGTCTTATTGTTTTGCATTGTCTTAAGTCTTCCTTCTATGTTTTTTGGGGGGGGGGCATCTGCACGTATATCTCTTATTTGTGGCCAGAATCCAAAGAGAACCGTATGCATGGGGAAAGTGTTTCATGGCTGCAGACCCACCCTCACTTCATGTTGAATGCCATTCTGGAGGGTCCCCCTGAGTTTCAGGAGGGGCCTGGGAAGAAGGAGGAGGAGATAAGTGCTTGTCATAAAAGGGGGTGGACTTGAAAAGGATGAGTGAGGATGCAAGCCCCGCCCCCCCCGGAGAGGCCCTTTGGAGGCTGGCCTGTGTGTGCCTGTCAGTATGGATGCATATGAGATCACAAAGGAGTATAAAGTAGACTGCATTTCATAGAAAGAAGGCTATTGTTTTGTTTGTCATATCGTATTTTGCAATTTGTACAACAAAGGATGTTTAGTAGCCATATGAATGGCTTTTTTAAACAAATAGAATTTGTATTTTTATCGTACTTTAAAGAAAGCTTTATGTAATAAGCATATATCCAGGGGCCATTTACTATGAATGGTTAAAAAAAAAACAGTCGGAAGATCTTTGCACATTTTAAGAAATCTTTGTTTTACTGATTTTTACAGAGGTTGATTCTGCAAATTGCTAAATGTGAGCTAACTGATTGGGTCTGTACAAGAACGCCTAAATGAATTCAGTAAGAAAGTACATTTTTGATGAAAAGGTTTAGTCCTCTGGTTGAAATTTGTATTTCTATGTAATCTCAACTGTTTTATTTTGCTTCAAATAAATGTTTTAAATAATTTTGCCTTGTAGAATGGCATCCTTATTTAATGGCCAATGCTCAGTGTGGAGAAAATGGTAAATATAAAATCAAAGGAAATTGTGGAAATATTGGTTGGTTCCTGTGTGAAAAGACAGATATTCCTTTAAAAAAAATATTGTCGACTTTTGTATTGAGTGGAGGATTTGGAAGTACATATGTGAGTCCATCAACAGACATACAAAATGTGTGCCCCAATCTAAAGTTATATGGGTGCAGCAGGATACTATAGATAGCGGTTACCATTTATAAGACCACCAGTGAGAGTGAATAGTGTTTCAAACCCTGATAAAAAGCCAGGATGCCAGAAGCAAGACTTCAACTTTAAGATCCACATATGGAGCACTTGAAGAAAAAGAACTTCTTTCTTACTTAGACTGGATTCCAATTGTTAGGGGCTTTTTTTGTTTTATTGATATAATTTATGTAATCAAAATAATTCATTTCATCCAAAATATTTCTGGGGTTAGTTCCTCTTAAGTACAGGAAGGACATGCCTCCCTTTAACTTCAATTTCCTTAGAATGAAAGAAAAATGCTGGAATATTCACTGTTGCCATCCCTTTGAAACAAATGCTTGTATGATCCCTCTTATAGGATGAAAGGTGGCCTATGAATGAGTGAATGAGATGCCCATTCAATAATGCTCATTCTTAAATCCTGCGATTCCAGTTCTACCTCATTCTTAGAATTTGGAATTGTTCTGATTTGTCTGGTCATGTTTTCCCAGAGTGACTGAACATATGGGGAATGGAAACCCTCTATTCTTTAATTTATTATCTTCAGTTACATAAAGGCTGCTATGCATGTGCAGTTCGCTTGGAGTTTTGTTTGCCTGTCATTCACTTGTGTTCATGGCCTGCCTTCACTTAGTAGATGTGTACACGCATGTTGACTAAACGTCCAACAGAAAGAGGTGTTTAACATAGAATTGAACCCATTTCCTTCTTTGTGTGGCTCTTTACAAATGGGCAGGTATACATCTGCCATCCACAATAAGGCACATAAAGAAAAATCATGATGCAGTCCTGCGTACAGTCATACTGCTTATTTGCAGTTTTGTCAATACATGTGCACACTCAAGAAAACAAAAACAGTTTTGTTTCTATTGCAGAATTTATACTAGCATGTGCATACTCAAGAAAATTTATTTATTTATTTATTTTATTTAATTTATATCCCGCCTATCTAGTCGCGGTGGACTACTCTAGGCGGCCAACAACAGAGATAAAATACACTAAGATAAAACAAAAAAAAAGTTTTGTTTCTATTGCAGAATTTATACTAAAGTTTAACATCTTCAGTGTTTCCTATTGTATAATTGCTTCCTGACATTTTCCATGATGTGACTTCCATTTACTTATTATCCATGCATTTACAAAACATAAAAGCATAATTGCCAACTAGAGACAGAAAGAATACTTAATAAACAACTCATTCTTCTCAGATTAAGCTTTCTTGACATGGCAGGGCATTTCAACAAGGTTTAAAAATTCCTGTAAGGTGCCAGCTCTCAAGTTTCCCTCTATTTTGTGTTAAATATCTCTGGTGTTCCTTGCCTGTAAGATGCAGAAGACATATGCCCACAGAGAACATGCACAAAAGGACTGGATAACTATCAAGCAAGTTACCAACAACCCATCTAGCGCTTCAGGTTTTTACATAAAGCTCAATGCTGGTCTAACTGTGGACAATTTGCCCTGCTTGTACAGCTTACACAAATGTTGCAGCTGAAGGTATTGAACAGGCCTTTTTTGGGACATAAGAATTCAAGAGCTCTACTGAAAGCTCAAGAAAATGCCTCACCACCCTTGCTAACAAGAAGACTGATATTTCAGTTCCACGTCCTTGCCTGAAGGATAAATAAACAAATAAAATGAGGATTTACATCCTTATTACCCACCAAGCAAAATGTATTGGGGGGAGGGGAATGCAAGAGCATCTGATTCTGAATTTTTAAAATAAGCCATACAGATTCCTCACTGTCACTCTTGACTCCAGTCAACCCACTGTCATAATCATGTTCATATCTGCATTTGAAGGTCAGCTCAAAGTGCGATCTGTTAAAAGTAACCTGGTGATGTTGTGGGATGCCCCTCTGTTGCAACTCTCGTTGTTTTCATCTACTTAATACCAGTGGTCCTATTCAAATTAGTTTTGAGCTATCCTGCTCAATAGGAAATTGTGCAATGTCCAAACATTTCTCTCTCATATCAGTGCACCCACCATTTTGCAGATCCCTATAACTGGTCAAATCACTGATCTACAGCAGCTTTTCTTGGCCTTTTCTTTACCACGAACCCCCTTTAAATACAGTATCTTTTGTTGCCACAGACCACCAAGACTTGACTCAAGATTTAGAACCCTAAAGTGTATCAGATATTTATTTAAAAGTTTCTCATGAAGAACCTCATCAACAGATACTCCTTGCTATAACAGATTTAGAGCCCTAAAGTGTATCAAATATTTATTTAAAAGTTTCTCATGAAGAGCCTCATCAACAGATACTCCTTGCTATAACAGCAACACTTTTAAGATGACAGGAAGAAGTTTCATTTTGCTTTGAACAGGATGCACCATCATCAACAGCATCCATTCTTTTACGTTTCAAATTCAGCCAGCGCTCCATTCTGAGGCTCTGTCAAAATGCATTGTTACAAAATTCACTGCGATGATATCGAGAAGTCACTTTATCCAACAATAACAAAATGGTTTTATAAGCAGAAATAAAAAAAGAAACACGATCATGAAATCCATCCAAACACTCACTCAAGCTGACACTGACTGACTCCAACCCTTCCCATGGCTTCTGACAGCAGCAAGAAATGTCATTCACTGTCTCTCATCCACTCAGCGTCATTCACTTGCTTGTTCTTACCATGTGCAGAAATATCAAACAGTTATTTTCATAACCAATTTTTACATTTGTTTCTTTTTAATAAAAGTTGTAGGTTTGAAAAGCCAGGTTTTACACAAACAAGCAAGAGGAATTAAGATTTTTTTTCCTGTTTCCTTTCCTTTCCTTTTTCCTTTCCTTTCCTTTCTCTCTTTCATCCATCCTTTTGGTTTTAACTGCAAAAGATCATAACATTCCTTCAAGCCTTCGTGGACCCCGCCCCCCAGTGAGGACATTGTGGCCATCCCCAGGAGTCCGTGGACCACAGCTTAAGAACCTAGGGTATACTACCTAAATTTGCTTAATCTTAGGGCCAGCTCTCATAAATGCTGTTTAATTCCAAGCACTTTCCCAAAGTCTTCTCGATAATTCTTTTGACAGCCAAGCAACACCCCCTGTAAGCTATGTGGCTGCATGGCTGCACAGCACTGTATTGATGTTATGGCTCATTTGGTTCTGGTCACAGCTGGGACTTGCATGCACTTGGAGACAGGGGGGCGGGGTCTGTTTAGTGCTAGTGGAAAATTAGAGGGAACATTGCAGCCAAGTAACATAGGCTAGTATTCGTCAACATCCCTATAATGCAGATATGGATACCTAGAGAGTTTTTAAGTAAGGCAAGATGTAAATATAGTCATTTGTTACTCAGTTCTCACACTCTTTGCTCCACTTCCTCCTCTGTGGTCAAGGAGGACCTGCATGAAAACATACTTCCTCCTTCTTTGTGGTCAAGGAGGACCTGCATGAAAACATTGCAGTGTGGGATGCACACCTGTTCCAGCCCATCAGCCATGCCTTCTCCTAGGTTAGTCCATTGCATTCACATTCTTACCGCCCCGCCCCCAGGTTTTCCTCCCTACAGACACACAGGAGTACTTCCCACTCCCAAGATCATGATTACCCCCATTCCTACTTCTCTTCTTCTTCCACAGTCCTCTGTCAAGCATGCTGATACCTCCTTCTTGTTCATGGGCAATGGTGCCCACCTGGTTATGTAAAGAACACCACCAAGGGAAGTGGAGTTGGCTGTATAATGAGATTAAATGCCATCCCCATAGTCATTATTATAGATAGGCATGAACTGGGAAAGCAGTGTTTTGTGATGATTTACAGTTTGCTACAATCCACGAACTACAAATCTCAAACTTTCCAGTGAAATAAACCATTTCATATTCATGTGATTTGGGAATTCTAGGGATGGTAGAATGACCCCCGCACAAGTTACAGATGCCAAACTCAAAGTGAGTCTTCAACTGACTCCTCCCTACCTCCTCCAAGTTTACCAAAGGTTAAATTTGTGATGTCTGAGTTATACCCCCCAAAAGGAGATTCCCTCAGGAAACTGCTCTTTAGCAGGTGGCTTGGGGGAAATTAAACAAGTGGTTCTTCCCAGGGAACTTGAGACAAGGTGTTGCTCTCCATAAGGTGGACTGGGAAGGGAACAGAAAGTAGGCAGGATGAATGGACTAGCTAGCTAAGTGTCCTCCTCTCATGCCAGCTGTTGCAAAAGTGAAACCACCAGCTGAGATGCCCAGGGTGTGTGGCTCCTGTAACCAGCTACTCCCAGAGAGCGGACTTGGAATTCCATGGTTGGCTGCCTGACCTGACAATCAATCCTATGCAAAGTTTTCAATAGGTTTCTTAGGAAATCGATTGAGTGGCACCAGGCAGTTTGGCCACCCAAAAATGAAGCATATGAATCACCAAAGCCATTAAGAGTTTGCCATTTTGTTCTGGGCAGGCTCTTTGTTCTTTGAAACACCCCAAAACGAAGCACGAAATGGCTCGATTTATGGGGGAGGAGGTGTTGCTTCGTGGTTCATTTCATGCCCATCTCTAATCATGATGAAACC